ATATATACTATACAATTTATACTCATTATTTACTTATTATTATATTTAGCAAAAAAAAAAAGTGACATGATAGGAACAGCACTAGTGATTTTTAGTCATATTGTCATTCTTATGGGCTCTGATAGCCTTAGTTAAACCATACCTAATATTAGTTCTACCCTTACAATCTAGACTTTTTTCTTCAGCTAAATGATGTATTTATAGTCCCTCAGTTGGTTTTATAGATTTTGGTCCTCAAGACCAATATGACATCAAAGGATTATTCACACTCTTAGAATGAAAAAAAACAAAAACCATTTTTGCAGATGCCTTACTTTTCTAGAGTCAGAGCCATCTGTGATAATATTCTATACCTACCTCTCTTAGTTATAGTATTCTGTAAGAATACACTTTATTAACAATCTATTTAACAATCTATCTCTTCTTTCATATGAAGAAAAATGTTAATTTCTTTAGCTAATATAGAACAGCCAAAAAATCATTAACAAAGTAGCAAAGAGTTTTTTCTCAATTTATTTTAATATTTCTATCTTACTAGAAGAACTTGAGACACTCAAAAGCAAAAATACAAAACAAAGGCATTTGTATAGTTGTTTTAGTCCAATTTTTGTTTTTCTGTTGTTTTCCTTCTCTTTGAATATTTTAAAATTTTGCACTTGAAGTAAATGTAGGTATAAGCAACAATAACTAAAGATGCCTGACTAAATCTTTAACTTAACAATTATGATAGTCAAAACCAAACAACTTACACCAACTAGTTAATTAGAACAATTATTTGGAAATTATTCTATCAGATGTTGACACATCTGTTGACAACTTATTTCCTCTGGCAAGAGCTTAAACGTTAGCAGATTGTTAGTTGCTAATGACACTGGGCTTAATCTGACAAATCTGTTTAAGCAATGATGACTGCTTTTGTCCAGTTCTGTAATTCCGTTTGATCATTAGTTTGTTTACAGCAACTCTCACAGTAACTGTGTCACCTATCTTAAACTGTTAGAGTACTGCTTCTGGAAAATTCTTCTTTTAGTTCTAAGATATCTTTTCATCATTTGCCTAATGGCCTGAGCATTTAAATTGTATAAGTATTTTCATGACAGAATCTTCATTGCTGAAATTCATCGTGCAGTTGTTCCAAATCGGTTCAAAATTAAATTATTGGGAAAAGGGGGCTAGCACAACAGTATGCTTTAAAAGAAATTTACACATGCATAATCAAATATCTAACTTACTAACTAAATAAATTTTAGTGAAAATAAAGTCCATGAAGACATCTCTTGTTAAAATAAAAATAAAAGGACACAAGAAGCAAGAATTCAAGATTCCTTTTTAAAGTCTGTAACAATAATTTCACAGTTCACTTTCTCTCTTGCTGTCTGTGATGTTATAAATGTGGCATTGCATGCTTACAATAACATGGTAATGGAACTCTGTCAATGCATTTCTATCCATCATCTAATCCATGGCCTGGGGAAGACATCCTCAGCCTCATAGAGGGTAACAGCTCCTCATTTGGTTGCTGTGCAACTAAGCAAAAATGAATCTAGCTTGTTACTTTGATGGCTAGCTCTAAACTTGTGAGCTTCTGTACTTCAGACTTTATGAAAGAGGCTGCACTTGCATTTAGGTTTCCTTTTTCTTTACATTCTTGGACAATACAGGACATTTAAATAGGTGGTTGATGCTAATTTGTACACTTCTTAGTCTATACATTTGGACATGTTATGTCCTTTCTAGACAACAAATGTTAATCTTTCACATTTGGAAATGTTAGTTAGTTGAAATCACTGTAAATCACTGTAAATGTTGAGACATGTACAATGTCTCAACTTTGATATACAAAAATCTTTCTCAAAACTCATATTGTTGTGCAAACATAATGCATTAAACATTGCTTGTGCAATTTACAAGCCTAGCTCCTAAAAAGTCTATATTATTACTTTAAACATGTGTATGAGGAAAAATAGTGTCTGCTGCACAACACTACAGCAAATGGCTTACATGATTGGTACCAAAGACATAATGAAAATAATATGGATGAAGATGATGTCTTTCTTCCCTAGGGGTACAATAGAATACAGGCTAACAAAATTACTTAAAACAGTAGGAAAGAGTAAGTTAGACAAAGCTCTACCACATTGCTCACAAATCTACAGACACACAAATATACAGTGTCATATACTCAAAAACAGTCTCCTATTGATTTTCTTTGAAGCTTTAAATCAACTTTGAAAATATAATTTGGGGACCAAATCCAAAATAATATCTAAAATGAGATTGTGAAAGATTAATTAATTAGAAATCAGGAGTCTTGACACAGTGGTTGTCTACATATGGAGATCTGAAATCTCCCTAGCGATCTGTGGTTTTTCTAGCTCTCCGTTCTTCTGGTACCTACCTCTAGTTCCATCTTTTATGTACACAGAAGCTTGTTCCTCTCTGAGCAGATGAGACATAAGAGAAAGGAAATCTGTGCAGAGAATTACTCTATAACTCACTGAATATCGTGTAGCTTAAGGCTTAGAGAACATATGTAAGATCTGAGAAGCAGCAATTTAGTTCTTTTCCAGCTTAATGTCATTCAAATCTCCTCCCCTATCTATGCCATTTTAGGCACCCATTTTTCCTCAGTGATTTAAAGAGTCTAACTTTGTAATTTGGTTTGATTTAGCATCCTGAGGTCTAAAATGTAGTTATTGCTTTCCCTGTTTTACAGTGTATATATTTTACTTATCAACTGTTATTAAAGGAGTGAGAGAAAAGTAGTGATTTTTAATTTCTGGATTACTTGTCAATGCATATAACCTCTATACCCTTTAGATATTTGCACAATACCAAATGAAGCAATATCAGACTTGTAATTTTCATACAGTTACAAAACCTCTTGGGATTCTAGAGAAGTAAAACAATCTGGAAAAGAGGCAAGTTTAGAAGCTGACAGTCTGTCTAAATGTTCTCTTTACTGGATGACACATCAGTGCTTAAATGTCTGGTGTTCTATTTAATTAGGATCAAGTATATTTATCATTATAAAAAAGTTATTAAAATAACTTCTAAGGCTGTAAAACCAAAAGTGTAAAGAGCATTTTGATGTTTGTTAAATATCTGTGATAAGTTTTAAAATTTAGAACTTTTTACATAAGAAATGGAGATTAACAGTGAAATTAATATTCAAGGGCATTTCTAACTGATGTTCACTTGACACAGTCAAAAGGGGCAAAGTATTGTTTGCTGAGGTATTGTATTGCATAACCTTTTAAGGAGAAAATGAATCTATTCAGAGATATGTTAAAAAAAAGAGTAATTAATGACAGAGATAGGTTTGGTCTCATTTACTTGAAAGAATTGTAACTGCTTAACAGATATGCACTGGAGCAATCCATTTTTTAGAGCTGTTGATATCTATCAAATAAGGAAAAATTTCCCTGAGGTCATGACCATGCTTTCATTCCCCTGTGGCCAAATACAATTTAATAAACTGCACTACTTTGGGATGTCAGGTAAATTGTCAGAATGGTGCCTGGGGAATGCTTACAGAGTTCTCATTAGTAGTGACAGCTGTTGCTTTAATTCATGGATTGATGCTTATAAATTCTTGTGGAAAAAAGTTCACCACAGTTAAAAAACCTGCCATATCTTTTACCTCATTTATATATAGGAGCCATCTCAAACTACAAGATCTACGGTTTTGGAACAGAAACATGACCAAAAGTTGGGGAATAATACAGTGTTAAACAACATTTCTCTGTTTATAGTGTGTTTATTATAATAACCTATGAATTCTTATATAAAGATGTTTTAAAGTTTTTGCGATTTAAGAGACCTCCTATTTGTTAAAACATGCATAAAACCATTTTAGCAATCTCAAATGGTTGTTTCTTATTTTAAACTTTTTTTTTCAACCTTTCTGTCTTCTGAAAAGAATTTTCCAGTTGTACAACCTAGTAACTGTTTCAATTTTGCAAATGTTTCGTTGCATTTGCTGTTTCTTTTAGTGGTAGCAGATAGGAGTAGACACAGCTGTTAATACAGAAGATGGATTACCTGCATCATGAGGCGGTCATGCATGCTGGTGGTAGGCACCAGTATCATTAACGGCAGCAGTGACACTGGGTTTGCGACTTCTTATTTTGGCTTTCATTTCACAGTTGTAGTAAGTTCTTTGAAAAGGACGTGTTGGGGTGAGGACTGGTAGGAAACAGAGTGCAATTCTGTGTTTTAGGGACTTAAACCTCCAGAGATGGAGACTTCTTTTCCTTTGGAAGACTGCAATGTTTATTGCAGCTCAGGATGTTTGAATACCTGAAGCCAGTTGAAAAGACCTGGCGTCTTCCACAAATCCATAGTAGATGTAGATTTGTGTATCCACTTTCTGAATGATTACTTGCTCTAATTCATGCCATACTGATCACTCTTTTCAGTTAAACTTTCCTTTTTAAATTATTTTTTTTAGAAAGCAAAAACCATATCCAAATACAGAAGATTGATTGTAGGTGAGATATTTTGTCAAGATTCAGTTTAAGTGAACTGTAAAAAAGTTGTTTTTTACCCCTGAAATAAAAACTTCAGGTCTACATAAACTGCTGTTTGATTCAGCCACATTGGTAAATATAGCATTTGCGTGCTGCAGGATAATAAGAACATAAAAAATATTATTTTTATTTTGATACTTACCCTATTGCGCAAAAGGCATCAAATCTGTTTTCATAACCAGAATATTAAAGTGAGAAAATAAGGTAGTTACTAGCTCTTTTGATGCATTAACTGGACAAAATCAAGCCATATTTTATTTTAAAAATACTGGCAGGGAGTCAACATAATCATGATGTATCTCAGTGGGCAGATTCTTGTAAAAATAAAGAAACAAAATGCCTTCCTGTATTAACCAAAGAGTAAATAATATCGTCTGTGGTTAGAATGCTAATGTGAATAGTTATGCATTTAATTATGGATGGTAAGTATCTATACCTTACAGTCTTTATTTCATCATTGCCTTACAGCTTCCATTGCATCAACTTGTAACGATCCTGGGACACCACAGAATGGCACTAGATATGGAGACAGCAGAGAACCTGGAGACACTACCACCTTTCAATGTGACCCTGGCTATCAACTTCAAGGACAGGCAAAAATTACATGTGTGCAACTGAATAACCGATTCTTCTGGCAACCTGATCCTCCTACCTGCATAGGTAATGAGATGTTAGTCTCTGTTTAAGATTAATACAGATTGGATTTCTTGTTCAACTGCTGGGTGTATGGTCCTTATGCTGAAGTGATGGTCTCTGCAGAACTCAATTATTTGGTACTTGTGGATAACATCAGCCTCGTTCTCTAGATTAATACTATTTTTAGCTGTGATTTTCTTACTCTATTTTATTCTTAAATTTCACACAAGTTTGAAACTGACCAAGTCTAATAGAAATAATTAAACAGAAGTGAGGATTTGGATTAAAAAAAAAAAAATTCTTGTTGCAATGCTCTCATTAGAATAGTCTTCTATGTAATAGTTTAGTTATATAAATTGTAATCCATTACTTATTCTGAAAATTTTCTGAGTTATCCTGCAGATTAAATTCCCATCCTGTGCAATCCCTTGGATGCTGGATTCTTATTGGGAAAAGTAGACACAGAGAAGGTGATCCAAGTGACAGTGCTGTTGAAAGAAATTATATGTATATCCATAGCACTAGGAGAGGGTGGGAGATCTTGATTCCATAGTTCTAGATGGTATAAAGGTTTCCCTTTGGTTCTGGTCAGTAGATTCATAATTGCAGGCTTGGAAGTCTTGCTGAAATGTATTTTAAGGTCAGCAGTGTAACTCTCCTGAGATTAATCAACATCTGTGGAAATTTATCTGCTAGGCATAGTAATTTGTTAAATCCTTGTTATTTTGTTGTGTACTGATATATAATTAAATGAAGACTTATTTTAACAATCTTAAACAAGAAACACAATAGTATTGGAATAAACATAATGCTTTTTCTTTCTACAAGTAGTTTGTAGAGGCACTTTCCGAAATACCAAATCCTCAAGCAATTGCAGTCCCTCTGCTTTTCTAAAGAGAAATACTGTGAAGGATTCAGGACAATGCAGAATAGTTTCTCTGAGACCATATCATGTAGCAGAATTGGAGCAGCATATAATCTGAATATTGTCTTCTGGATACCTTGTGTGCGATGTACAAATAGCAGTATAAAATGCTTACTAAGTGTAATGGTATTATTCACAGATTAAAACTTTTAAAAATTAAATTAAAAAACTAAAATAATATATATATGGTACCTGTCTGGTCTAGAAGGTTCATTAAATACCAAATATAATATCTCTGTGGTTCTCTATAGTCTAGTAAAAAACCCCAAAAAAACCCCATAAAACAAACCCAACAAAACCTAACAAATCAAACACAAAAGAAAGGAGGAAATAAGATAGAAAGAAAGAGGGAATCTTTTTGGGCAAAACATATACACATAATTATTGTTATTTTTCTGCATAATCAAGGTCACTTTGAAGGGGAACGCAGATTAAAGTAATCTTTACTGTAGGCATGATAATAATAGAAAATTTAGGAGTTCTGTAAAGCTGTTATATGTAATTTTAGAATTTTTCTATGTCCTGATTTCAGTATGCTGATTTATAAGTGAAATGGCCTGACACCCCCCCCACATACACACACACACTTTCTTTAAAATGTTTACTGTAGATTCCAAACCCTTACTACCAACTGTTTTATGCTGTAAATATGTTTCTCTGAATCTGCTTCACTTGGTAATGTAGATGCAGTCTGTGTTGACTACTGTACTTTTTCATTAGACTTCTACATGATTATCATCTCAACGAGTTGGATTCCTTATCTATTTAAAAGCCACATTCAATTTATGGTCACTAAATAAATGTATTTGATTTTTTATTTTGGTAGCCTCTTTAGTAAGTGAATCAAACTGTTTTGAACTACATCCACGGTCAAAAGAAACTGCATCCTGAGTCCTACTATTCAGCTTTTCCAGTTCTTAAAGTACTTCCAGTACATAAGAAATTTTCAGCTTGAAAGAAACACGATTGATTAATAGCAAAAATATAGATTACTTCCTATTTAACTTTATATGTATTTTTTTTCCATTTGAAAGAACTTTTCCTATTCTGCTTTTGAATATAAACAGAGCTCACTTCTTCAAAAGGAAAATAGCAAAATTTTTGCTAACTGAAAGTGGGAAAGCTCTGAGTTTCTTAAAAAAAAAATATTAGTTTTGGTAAATGTAGAAGTCAGTTTACTCCCATTTAACAGTTAATGTGTGCTTGTGAATTTAACATGTGACCATACTTCTTTTTTTCATTGTGACAGCTGCATGTGGAGGAAACCTGACAGGCCCAGCAGGAGTTATTTTATCACCTAACTATCCACAACCGTATCCTCCTGGGAAAGAATGTGACTGGAGAATAAAAGTAAACCCTGACTTTGTCATTGCCTTGATATTCAAAAGGTACCATTTCTTCATGAATGCCTCTGTTTTAAACGGTTTTAAACATCACATCTAAAAATGGCATTATTTATAATTTCTTAAAACTTCTAATTATATTCTCTGGCTAAGTTCTGGAGCGTACATCTAATAGGTGTTATATCATTGCTTCCAAATAATATAAAATAAAAAAATATTGTTAAATGGTACTTTTGCTATCAAATATATCCCTGAAGAATAAAACTTTTTGTGATATATGAAATAAAAATCTTTGAAAAAGAATGTCAGTCTATAGAAATGCTAAATTTATGCTATTGTACCTAATAGTGGAGATTTAAGCTGTAGCAGAAACTCTATCTGTAAGTCATTCTTAAAGGTTTTTGGAAATACAGACTAGATATACTTTGCTCAAAGTACATAGATCAGAAAAAAAAGTTCTACTTAGTCAAGAAATAAAAGACATTGAGATATTATTGTATCATAATCATAAAGAAGTTTTGTTTACTCAGTGTTCCATAATAACCTCTATGTGTTGCAGAGATTTTTACCACAGATTTGAAGTTCAGGGATATACTCATATTATTGTGTTCATTTCTATTTGAATCAGTCCTATGCAATCACCTCACTTGCTATATCTATGGATGCAAACACAATTTTTTTTCATTTTCTAATACTCTGTCTTAAGCGTGATTTTTAAACTAAGAATGGTAACATTGCTTTTGACTTCAGTAGAATGGTGATCAATTGTGATTCGTTTAGAAAGAGATGGTGGCATGTTCAGAATTTTTCTGTGTAGTATTTGCACCCTTTCTTTGAAACAAAAGCTGACCATCGCACTTGGGAAAAAGAATTTATTTATATTGTTCTACAAAGATAGATAGAAAGACAAAAATCCACTCACCTGACTGAGTCCCTGCCTTGCCTGTTTGTAATGTAATTTTACCTTTCTCATCTTTTCTTCAATGTTCCTAGTATATCCTTTTACCTAGCTCTGTATACGTTTCTCCTATAAATGCCTGATATTTATCTTTATGTTGTCTCAGAACTCATCTCAATTACATTCCTCTGAAAGACATTCCATTTATATTATCTTCATAATTTTTTTAAAACATATAGATATCATGAAATATAGCATAATATAGATGGTTTAGTGAGAATAATGTTAATTCACATTAATTTATCATAATTGTCTAGTGTAATTTGGATAGGAACAAATGCAAGTTCCAGGACAGTGGTCTATTTTCTATGAAAGCATCTTGTTTCCAAAAAGGTAAACTTGTGTTTGTAATGGAGGGATTTAATATCATCCAGTTTAGCCTGCTAAAAGCTGGACTTTAAGTTAGTTGCCTGGATCATTCCCCTGGGCACTGGTAAGAGCCAGCCTTTTTAAGCAAGTGATTCTATTATCTTAATAATAGTTTTTAGGATAGGTAGGAGGACATGCATGATGGCTTTTGGGAAGCTGAATGTGTTCCAATCAGTGGTAAAAAGAACTCCACTGAAAGTTAGCAAATTTTCATTGTAAATCATATTTAAAAAGACATTTATTTCTGGAGAAGAAAATGTTTTAGGCAGAAGATTGGCAGCCACAGTTATAGTAATGTTTAACTCATTAAAAAGAAATGAAGACTTAATTCTCTATTCCCTTTATTTTCAGTTTCAATATGGAACCCAGTTATGATTTTCTACATATTTATGAAGGAGAAGATTCCAACAGTCCTCTGATTGGCAGTTTTCAAGGCTCACATGCTCCTGAAAGAATAGAGAGCAGCGGTAACAGTCTGTTTCTGGCTTTTCGCAGTGATGCTTCTGTTGGAATGTCAGGATTTGCCATTGACTATAAAGGTACTGTTCTCATCATAGGCTATGAAAACATAAAGGGAAAAGAATGTTATTCAGTATTACTGAGACTCAAATCTGTTTACTTCTATATGTACACATACAGAACTACCAGATACCTTGATATATTGATGTAATTTTTAAAAGTCTTCTGTTAATATATGAAGGAAAGCAGAAATCCTATTTCATGAAATCTTTTTCACATCAGTTATGCACATTTTCATCTTCCAGAAAACAAAAATAGGTAGATGTACATCTAAAGTAACATTTGGAAAAGAGTTTTAGAATGGAATTGTCTTACTCAAGTAGATTACCTGACTGCTTCTTTCTTGTCAATACATACCAATACGCTTTCCTTTCCACTTTGTTTTGAATTTACAAATGCATTTTTGAGTAAATACTACCGGATAGTATTTGCATTTTTTGGGAGGTGCCTATTACTAGACAGAGATTGGGTTATGCTGCCTATTTACTAAAGCCAGACACTCATTGAAAACACCAGTTTCTTTCTGATCACAGATGTTGTCCCTGGCGTGATTATAATCTTTGCTGAGATTTATGAAGCTGTTTTTCTGCAGCAGAGGTTCTACCTCAGCTCCTTATTCTTGACGATAGAAGCAAGCCACACTAATGTACATGTTAAAAATGAAGGAACAAAAAGATCTAAGGAATATAAAATAAAATACCTATAAAAGAGAAGGGAGTGAAAAAGAACTATGAAATAATTTTTATATTTAGTCTTCATCAGTTGTCCAGCATCATGCAGTATTCTCCATGTTGGCAAGGCTCTTTTTCACAAAGTAATTGTCATATTGCCATGGATGAAGTCTTAGACTGTTCCTCTCAAAACAAAATATCAAAAAAATGGGAAAACTTTTTGTTCCAGGAAATCTGTAAGACCTACAAGGAAAGAGAGTGGAAAGCTGAGCAGGAGACAAAGACATAAAGATGTCCACTGAAAATGTGCATACACATTTTCATTGTATGTCTATTTTTTGTTCTCAGCATATGTGTAGCTTTATGCAGCTGGAAGTCAAATGAAATTATAATTAAATAAAAGAAACAAGAACAGAACACTGTATTAAAAAAATTTATTGTACTCAATGGACCGTGTATTTGTGCCTAATAATTAGATATTTTTCTTAAGTACATTATTCAATATTTTATATAGAATGTTTTAAATTATTAAATGGTTTGGGTTGGAAGGTACTTAAAGATCATCTAATTCCAACCTCCCTGCCATGGGAAGGGATACCTTCCACTAGACCAGGTTGCTCAAAGCCCCATCCAACCTGGCCTCACTTCCAGTGAGGAGACATCCAAAACTTCTCTGGGCAATCTGTTCCAGTGCCTCACTACCTTATGCTAAAGGATTGCTTCCTTATTCTAATCTAAACTTCTTTCAGTGTGAAGCCATTCCCCCTTGCCCAATCACTGCATGCCCTTGTTGCCTTTTCCATGTCCCAGATAACCAGGTCTCCCATTTCTTTCTGGAGAGGACCCACATTTCTATAGTCTTCCTTTTTTCACCAATGTGCATATAGAAGTGGTGAATTCTAGAACTGGCCATTTTTCTTCTACAATACAAAACTTTTTTTGGAGTCATTCAGCTTTCAGAGAGTTTCACTAACAAATAGTAGGAGGAAAATGCTGTTGATTAGATCCTCTCACTATCATTTCTTTGGCCAGATAACCAATTTTATGAAAACACCCATGACCCTGTAATAAGCATACAGAAACACGAATAATAAATTAATAAGCTGTTTAAAAATTTAAACTGACTGAAAATAAAAAATGGACAATTGTTCAATTTTTCTTTCTTTCTTTTTTTTTTTAAATAATTTAAATTGAAAGTGTATATAGATTTACTGTAATTCATTTTAACAGAAAAGCCACGGGAAGCTTGTTTTGATCCTGGAAATATCATGAATGGGACAAGAATTGGAGCAGACTTTAAGCTCGGTTCAACTATTACTTATCAGTGTGATTCTGGATATAAGATTATTGATCCTTCAACTATAACATGTGTAATTGGTGCAGATGGAAAGCCAGCATGGAACAGAGCATTGCCATCTTGTAATGGTATGTATTGTTTTCTTACCTTGTCCCCTTGGTAAATTCAATTTCTCAGACCCTGAGGCTGTTTAGACTATTTCTACACATATAGCTGGTATAAAAAAAAAAGAGGTCAAAAAATAAGAATTATGATGTGTTGGACTATAGCTTAGTCAAGTATTTAAAAATAGCTTTAAACTCTGGAATCAACATAAGTTCATATGATGACTACAATGTAATATGTAAGTTTCTTTAGGCACATTCTTTAGATAGATATCACAAGCATCTCAATACTGCATTAATTGTCACCGTATCATAAGAATAATAGTTACTGAGGTAGAAAGTTAAAATGACATCTCAGAGCTATGGCTAACTAATTTATCCTCTATCCCATGTTTCAACATTTGTATTGCATGTATATATATCTATGGAACAATTTTAACAAATCAAAAGGAAGTTACATATATTAGTTAATTAGCATCAAATACTGATTTATATATGTTGAAAAATTACCTCCTGCAAAGTTTTAGGTTTTCAATTATAGGAAAAGACAATTTAGAAGGAAATATTGAAGCTTGTTTTAAATTAAGTATAGGTGACATACTTTCTTTCCAGTGAAATGTTTGTGACTTGAAAATTTCATCTGGTAAATAGAAGATAGACTTTGTGGCTTGCTTTATGGTATCCTCAAAGCAAGAAGAGAAGGAAATATGAAGATTTTAAATTCATGGCATAAACTGATTCCTTGTGATATTTGAATTTCACCTCAGCCACATAATCCTATTCTGCCTACAGACAGATCAAACTTGTTATGTTCTATCATTACATTGGATTTTTGAATAATTCATGCAAGCAGCTAAGAGAAGACATGGATTTGTAATATTAATTGCTGCCTGTATAAGAAAGTTAAACTTGCAAAGATATTTCAAGTTTGATTTTAAAGACCTGTCAGGGAGCAGAAAGAGCAGGTCTGCTCCACAAGGGCCAGGAGCCAAGGTTGTCCAAAGCCCATGCTATGCCCTCACTCACTACGCACAGTTCCACAACACGAGCCGGGTCAGCAGAGCCAGGAGCTGGTAACAGGGTACTTGCGTTGCCCCAGACCAATGACCTTGTTGTTCACCTGGGCCACAGATCATTCTCAGAGCTACTTTCCAGGCAGTTGTTAAATTATAATCTGCTATATGTAAGATACCTACAGTAGGGTAATGTTGATTTACTTTGTTCCTCATAGTAGAATGGTATTTTCCTATCTGTAGCTATAAATTCTGTAGCTATAAAAAGTTTCTCTTCATCTTTCTGTTCTTTTTCTATATACATATGAAGCCAAAGATTTTTTTATACATATAATCTATGTGCTTTTTCATAATCATCTAGGAAGCTATGAAAAATAAGGCAATTCAAGCATACATTCACAAAATAGAATCCTTGGCATTCTGTGCAGGGTACTGTCAGTGTATCTATGAGTTCCTCTGAGACACAAGATAACTGTGCTATTTATTTATGTAGTACTGTATTTTTTCCTGAGCTTTTTTTAATATAGATGGATATAGAAAGATATTCTAATAAAAACCCCATGTAAATTCTGAGTTTACAGTGTCTTTCAATTAAATAATTTATACTTCCAATCCAACATGAATACTTGTAGTCAAGTAAAACTCTCATGTATTCTAATTTTAAATAAATTATATTAAATATTATATCCTGAGAAAGAACCATTTTATATTTCAGTACAGTAAAACCAAATAAAACCAAAACCAGTAAACTGGCACTTTTTGATCTTGGGATTTTTTTTTTTTTGGACTTAACTAATACAGACAACTCAATTGATACATGTTTCTTTCTGGTTTTTTTCTAGCTCCATGTGGAGGGCAGTATACTGGATCAGAGGGAGTTGTTTTGTCACCAAACTATCCTCATAATTACACTGCTGGGCAGACTTGCCATTATTCGATAACTGTTCCTAAAGAATTTGGTAAGAATTTCTTCTATTATCAATCATTATCATTGTTCTACTGTTCATGTGTCCTTTATGTGTAATAACGACCTAAGATTTTCAATATATTGCAAATTATTTATAAGAAATAAATATATTCCTGGTATAGAAATTGATTCTAGGGTTTTGACCTTTTACTTCTCCCTAGAGGAATCAATAGATTTCAACCAAGCCATCACTGTCTGCTATCCAAGTGTATTCTGAACACCTTCATTGATTATATTATTCATCATCATAGGATAATCATGCATTCAAGCTTCCTGCAAAGTAAAATCAAGTGTCAAAACCAAAGCTTTTATATTCTTCTTATATTTTAACTTTTTGTTTTTCATGTTTTAACAAGGGCAAGATGAGTAGAATAATCACATTTAAGCGGTACAGTGAAGGGCATGGAAGCAATTTTACACAAAACTACAAGAAATGTTTGTGAGAAATCACAAAACCAATTATTTCAATGTGTCAAAATGCTTGCACAAAATCTCTAAAACTTGTGCAATTGTATGTAGGGTGTGGTTTTCTGCAAAGCAGGGTTTTTCTAATTCAAATCCAGACAAATAGCAATAAGATGCATTTTACTACTACTTGTTTACCAAAAGAATGAATTCACAGCAACTAGATGTATTTGGTACCTTCTATATGCAACAAAACCTGTAAGGACTCAGATGTAAATAAGACACAGGAGGAGACTAGAGTGACAAATTAATATTTTTATTGACTTGGTTTTACTGGGTTACTGTTTCAATTGCTATTTGATATTTGAATTCAGTGAACCATTTGATATTTACTAGTGAGACATTGTATAACTAATTGATTTATTAATAAACTTTTAATTATGTACAGTTGAAGTGCAAATTAAGTAGCAAAATGACAAAGCTGGTAACATATTGGTATTTTTAGTATTTGATCAGCTTTTATATCTTTCTGATAAAATATGTACTTATGCAAAGTTTAAAAAATTGACAAATCAGTAAGTTTAAAAAAATCTTACATTAAAACCAGAAGAGCAACTAATCATATGTGATAGTTGTTAAGGTTGGTAATGTCATTTTGGTAAAAACTTTTCTTTTTAGATATTCTGTTTCCTTATTCTCATAGGTACCTAGGCAATAAGGAATAAGGTCTGTTTGAATGGACATTACAGTTTTGGGGAAAGTGTGAATTAATAATTTTTGGGGTTTTTTTAAAAAAAGGAAATAATGAAAAACAAATAGTATTCTTATTACATAAGTTTAATGCAACTGTTTTATCATGATACAAAATAAAGTAAATTGGAAAGATTCATGCAGAAATTCACTGGTTACTAAGACAAGCAAAAATATGTCCTTAAATTTGTTTTTAAAGACTAAGTTCTTTTATCTTCTCTAGTTTTATTTTTTCCTCTCTTTTTTTTTTTTTTTTTTTTTTTTTTTTTTTTTTTTTTTTTTTTTTTTTTTTTTTTTTTTTTTTTTTTTTTTTTTTTTTTTAATGCAGTTGTGTTTGGACAATTTGCCTATTTTCAGACAGCTTTGAATGATGTGGCAGAATTATTTGATGGAGAAAACTCTCAGGCTAGACTTCTTAGTTCACTGTCTGGATCTCACTCAGGTAATTAATAAAGAAAAAGAAGTATACATTTCTCATACAGCTCAGCATGAAAAAAAAATCAAGACAATGTTATAAATTTCATTTGGAAATAAAGTCATTGGAACAGGATGCCAAGGGAAATGGAACACCCTTCTAAATCTTTAAATCAAGAATTTATTCTTGATTCTGGAACATATGGTTTAGGCAAGAATTGATTACTGGGGTAAGTGTAGAAATTATTGAATTAAATTCTCAGAATTCTATGTAAGAGGGTAGATTGGATGCTATAATTATCTCCTCTGCTGCTAAACTTTTTGAATTATACATCTACATATTCTGAATGACTAATTTAAACACAAATTACTTGTATTTAAAAAATTATCTGTATGCAAACATGCAACTACACTAAAAGCAGGTCAGCTGTTGCATTCAGGTAACTATAGCAAAATGTTGACCTTCTGAAATCATAATTAAGGTTATATGAATTTCAGCATGGTCAGAATTTCCACTGTATGCATATATAAAATGACTGGGTTAATCTCCAGGGGATAATATACAAATATATTTCTGCAGCTATGAATGTGTCATACACTCCTAGTATTTAGGAAATTTTATATGTAAGTTAAAGATTTTTGCAATCCAGGGATTTTCATGGCTTCTTGGCTTTAACTTTGAATAACTGGAGAGATACTTCATTTGAAAAGAATATAACACATATATATTTGATTTATAGAAAATATAATATTATTTGAAAAACTCAGCTCAATATTTTCCTCTGGTGAATCCTAGCTATTTTTGCCGTAAGAAGACTTCACAAACAAATTTTAAGATTTGTTTAATTACTGGTATAATTTCAGCAACAAAAGAAATTTAAATTTTTAAATTTAGGAGATCATCCAAGCACCAAATTTTACTGCAGCAAAGTTTTATATAAGTTGAAGTTAATGTTTGTTTTCACAGAAAACATTTGAAAATATTTGAAAAGAATTTACAATCATTATTTTTATTTATTCCTAATGACATATCTGACTTACATAGATCTAGGATAGAATTCTGTTACATGGAATCACTAGTTGCAATAATATAAAATTAATCAAAGTGAAAGAATTATAAATCCTATTTACCTAATAATGCAAGGTATTTTAAATGAGTGCATTATCATTAATTTCAGTAGCATTTCTTAAAATATGGGTTGATACAGTCCAGTGAGAATAAAAACACTAGTCATGTGGAGTAGAATCCTTGCAGTGTAGAAGTACTGCACTTTTGTCTGTAGTGTTTCATTACCGAACTCTTATCATGACTCCTGACAGATCTGTCAGGAAAGGAGATAAATTATATTAAACATCTTTATTAATCCTCAAGTCAGAAATAAAATTTACAAAACTATAAGAAAGTTAATAATATAACATAGTTCATGTGTGATCATATATTTTATTGAAACCACTATATAAAGCAAGTCATGGATTTGCTCTCTCATATTTCAGTTTCAATCTTAAAATGATAAACATCTCATGAAGATCCCTGTGGCATTTTTCAAATATTATTAATTGTTTAATGTGTTTTGCAAGGCAAAGTAAAGCTTTCAGTCACAGAAAAGAGTTAACTAAAAATTCTTCTAATGATTTTGGCCCCAGGTGGCAGTAGGGTTCTCAAGTCAAGTAGTTTATTTGAGCTCTAGTTCCAACAGCTGCAGTAAATGTCAGAAGGTTTATGTTGTTCAATCAGGAAGCCTTTTTATTTTGACAAGTTTCAAATCTCTAGTGGCAAATTTAATTTTGTAAAATGATATTTATGTTTTCTTTAACTATAGAGGAAAACATAGGACTATGTATTTTAACAGTATACTTGATTCCATACTGAAGAGCTATAAGTCTTGAAGTCTTGTTTCTGGTTTGTGAAAAAAATTAAATTTTAATTGTTGTAAAAAGTTAAAACAAAAAAAATTTTTATAATTTATTTTCTGTTTCCATTTGTAGGAGAGACATTGCCTTTGGCTACATCTAATCAAATTCTTCTGCGATTCAGTGCTAAGAGTGGGGCATCAGCCAGAGGGTTTCACTTCGTTTACCAAGGTAAACGTGTCCACTTTTCCTGCAAGACACTAGTGCGAGCTTCGTGAAGTGTATTATCATTAATTCTTCATAGGTCTTCACATATTGCTTTTAATATGAGTGGCTTCATAATATGACTTTCATAATATGACTTTTTAATATGACTGGCTTCATAAAGGCAGTTGTCTGCGTTGGATCTATCTGGCCCCATGGACTCGAATATATCCAGCCTTTCTCAGTAGTCTGTGACCTGTTGCTCCCTGACTGCTGAGTGAGTTCAAGGTTTTGGGGAGTTTCCTTAGTTGTATTAGTCTTTTGCAGTACTCCCACTTGATTTTTCAAGAGTTTTTGTTCAGGCTGCTAAGGAATTCCCTCTTCTTGAGAGCTTGGAGAGAAAATTACTATGGCAGAGTCCATTAGGCAGTTTCAGTATTGAAGCGTGGATGGAAGACTTACTGGTCTGTTTCTGCCCCGACTGAACTTGAGGAGATATTATATGCATGTCTGCACAGTGCAGCTGCAATGCAAGAAAGAAGCAGCAGACCAAGTCTATTAGTATGCTGCTGGGTGGATTAGTACACTAAGCTGATCTCTGTGTCCTGGAGAATGCAGTCTGGTGACACCTGGACCATTATTTACAGATTCATTGCCTGCAGTCCCAAAGGGACTCCTGGGCAGTTCACTAGATGTATTGCACACATACCCAATAAGTGTAATGAGACAGTCATTGAACACGTTTGTTTTTTGTGTGCTAGTTTTTCAGCTTTACTAAATTGGAGTGTAAAATTAGCTTTGGGTAGTTTTAAATAATATTATCAAGATTACTAACTTCCTTTTTAATTTTTGGCTATTTTTCTTTTTTACATTGGAGCACAGTCATATTTTGACACAGCAAATAAATGCAAAGAACTGTCTCACCTCAAGAATATTTCCACTGTTGTAAGGAGATTGTTGGACTGTTTTTTAAGCCTTCATACTTCTATGTTTATAGAAAGATATCACCATGACTGCACACTCTATTTTAGATATACTTTAAGATATCATTACCTGCCCTTTTTACACATCAAAAGCATCACTTCCATTAAAATTTATCATGGAAAATTAATCATAAAAGATGGGGAATATAAGATTCTGGAATTATAAAAGAGCTTTCAGCATTCAATTCTTATCCATTTGCATATGAATGACATCCTTCTGTCTAAGTCTATTTGATTGTCATATGCCTAAAGTGTTATTTTTTGCTGCTTTATAAGAATTCATAGTGATACAAACTCACAATTCTATTAGCTGTATGTGTATATATACACACACATAGATTACTGTTGAACTGGAAGTCTCCAGGTGAGGACAATGCTATGCCTCATTTAATTAATTTGTGGTTTTAGTGACTGTAACAAATAGATTTTAACAAATGAGAAGAAAATGAGTCAGACAAAGTCACTTTATTTGTGTCAGGAGAATCATGAAACTGTTTGAATATAGAGGAATTTTAATATATTTAAAATATATATATACACATGTATTGGTTAAAGAAGTAGTGGCATTTAATAACCTCTATTATTTTGAGATTTTTTTCTTTCTTCTTTTGAAGCATGTGATCATACTTCCAATGACCACCTGCTTGATAGCCTTTTAAATACTCCAGAGAATGACATCCACTCTCACACTGAACACAGTAATCTGGTCTGCAAAGTCAATCATTTTATTTATTGCCCTCTATTTCAGGTTGACCTTCTTCTCTGTTCACTTTTCCACTGGGCTGATTTCAATTTTGTTTCACAGCAGTATGAAACATTTACTAAAAGATAATTACTGCAGAAAATGGAATGCCTGTGTGATACAGCTTGAGAAGTGTAGGTTGCCAACACTATAGGCGAAAGCTAGAATAAAAGCTAGAGGGGAAAAAAGTTATTGCTTGCATTATTTCACATTCTGGTTTGAGCATGCAACAGATAGCTCTTGATTCAGATTTAATGGATTTTGTAATGCCACTTTCTCAAAAACTTCTTTTTAGCTGTATATGTCATCTATGCCCTCATTTCTTTCTCTCAGATGATCACATTTCCTTGTATTTCATACAATAGATAAAGACTATCTGTAATATCAGACTGAATGAATATCCAGTCTTTCAAACTATTAGGGTCAGGTATGTTGATGTATGCTAGGAACAATCACATTTAAGGAGACTGGGAATTATATTTTTGTTCAGGTTATGTTATATTGGTCTTCCAGCTAAGACATCACCTAAGAAACAAGAGCTTTTATTTTTGTATAGCTGAGGCTGCAGCAGTACAGAGTTCTCTCCTTAAATAGCAAAGTAATGACCTTCCTACCATCCAAAAATTTATGGAGTTTTAATTTTAATACTTGTCCTCTTCTACTTGCTCTACCACATGAGCGCATGAACTAATTTATGAGGTCAAATGAGATTTTAAAGAGGATTATTAAGAAAGTTACCATACTAGGATCAGAAGGATTGTGTGATAAAGACAAAGGGAAACAAGAATATAGGAGGAATACGACTTTAACAATTAAGTTGATCTAATCTGTGACAAGAATAAAATACATAGCCACACATTGTCTGTTAAATTTAATTAGAGAGCAGAACTAAGACTGTTAATATTATTTTACGTATGTGTTACTGTGACACATTATGTCTTACTTTAAAGCAGACATCCTAGAGAGGTGGTTGATGCCCCAAGCCTGTCAGTGTTCAAGAGACCTTTGAAAAGTGCCCTTAATAACATGTTAATATTATGACCTGGTAAGTCCTGAATTGGAAAAGCAGTTGGACTAAATGATCGTTGTAGGTCTCTTCCAACTAAAGTAGTCTATTGGTGAGAGGCATTCCAGCTGAGCTGTCAGCTGTGTCACTTTTTATTTTCTGAACTTTTTATAGATGTTTGAAACTGTACTACATTTTACCATGGACTATTTAATTCTAAATCCCATTTTAAACAGAATGAAACTATCTCACTTTGTTTTTATGTCTAGCTTCCATTACATGTATTCTTAAGGCAGTTCTTTTTAAAATAGGAGGAAACAATTACAAAAAGAGTACCTGTTACAGTGATTGTGCATCTTTAACATTTCTTGTCCCACTGTAACACAGCATTAGTAAACCCTGTGAAAAACTGAGTAAAAATGTCAATTTTAACATGGCATTGAGTGTTTCTTTCTGACAATAGAATAATCTGACACAACTCTAGCCGTGGATATTCATGGCTGATCTCGGTAAAATAGTGGCTTTTTGTCTGAAAAGGAAGCACATAACAGTACTTCTTCTTTGTGAACTCATTTAAAAGTACTACTAAACTGTGCCTATTTTTTTTCTTCTATCAGAGATAGCTAGCTCACAGGAAAATAACTTTTGTAAGGCAGTATTATAATGAAACCAGATAATCAAATACCCTTTGTTGAGAGGTACTGAAAATTCTAGTTATGCAAAAAAATCTGTTTGGTTTACTAGTGCATGTATGCAAATTTCCAGATGTGATTACTGAAAATTATAGGATTTTCTTCCATAGCTTACTCCCTTTTGAGAAACTGGGTGAAAAAATGCATAGAGAAAGGTGGTATTCCCATAAAAGGCCAAACAAGAGTTTCTTCCACACAATGAATGAGAAATACTCCAGAAGAGATGTTGAAATTCTCAGTCAGGTTGTGTAGCCTCTTATGTAAGATAGATAAGCTTTAGGCAAGTGTAAGGCTAAAAGTTTAACTAGCAGTGGGCTGAGGTGGTGACCTGTCTGGGAGGAGGTCTAGGACTACCATGACCCACTCACAAATAGCTTCCTCTGAAGCTGGCATAAACAAGCTCTCACATGCCAAAGCTTCCACTAGTCATAGGAGCACCTACGTGGTGCCTGTTCTCAAAAACATCTGAGAGTGACAACTGCTTTGGGGCAGAGATGCTTCTGGGTATGTGCTGCTAGAGACACTGATAGAGAGTTTGTTGGAGATACTCTTGAAAAGAGACCTTCCTTGCCCCGAAAGGCTAGTATTTTCAAAGAGACTGTGGCCTGTGCGTAACCCCTGCTGGAGTGGGAACACCTCAGAGGGGTTGGCAGCCTGTGAAAGTCCATGTTCTGCAGCAGGGAGCATCTTTAAGCAACTGTAGCACATGAGTGACCTACAGTGGAGTAAGAACACTGAGAAACAGAGTGATGTGAAAACTTGAAGTGAAAAATAGGAGAAAAATGAGTAAAACACAAAGTACATCAAAGCAAAAAGAAAAAATGAAGCAGAAAGATACAGGCTACATATGCCTTGTTGTTCACTTAGTGAGCAGGGTAGCTAAACAAAGAGGGGAGGGTGTGCAGGTGTGCACATGAACACATGGAAATACTACTTATCACTGTTACAGGCCAGCAAAGGAATTTAAACATGATGCTATAAAATAAAACTAACCATGATTCTGTTTACACTAGTGAGCCTGAAGCATCATGTCTAAAATTTTGCCTGGAATAAAGTGTAACACCCACCCCTTTTTCTTTTTTTTTCCTGTGCTATTCTGTGCCTTTCTTACTTAAGAACTAAATGGCAAGCAATTTTTATATTACTTGAACAGTATAACTAGTTTAGTTAGAACTGGTCTAAAAATCCAAAGAATGTTCAGTGATGCTCTAAAGTAATTCTTGAAGAAACCAAGCTGATCAAGCAAAGCCTTTGATCATGCCAAATACTCATACAGAAAAAGGTGCTTATATTTAAATATTTTAATGCATATATATTTTATTATACTGTAAAACATAGATGATACTGCACAAAAATTACACTTCTATTATTTTCTATATAAATTTTATATATTTTTTTAATTGACACTTACTATCTAACTGCAAAATGAAATGTAGTAAGAACAGGTTTGACACACAAACAACATGCGCAATACCAAGAGTCAGTAGGTCTAAAAACATCTTTTATAAACAAGTGGTTATAAAAAACAAAGCCAAAGGGAAAATAAGCCCATGGGCCTCCAATAAATTTTATTATTTTGCTCTTTATATGTTGCTTACTGTCTTTTAACTGTTCTTGTATCATACCAGATTTATGAATTCCCAGAAACTACTGGTAAAAATAATTGTTGTCAACACAAAACACAGACATAGCCTGGAGGGTGTATTGTTATCACTTTGTATTCTCCAGTATGAGAAATCAAACATTTGTAAGATATTTCATTGTCTTTACATTTGATTATCTACATCATAATATTTTTCTTGGCTTCTAGTGAGAAGGCAAAGCCCCCATATTTATTAAGTGAAGTAGGTGGTAAATATAGTATCCTGTCTTTAGATAGCTACAGAAACACCTACTGATCTTCTCATGCCTAAACACATGCATGAAAAGCTCTCCAACCTGCCATGGCACTCGTATGATTGTACACAGTCCCAGCCCAAAAGTACATTCCAAAAGAATAAGGCCATTCTTTGAGAAGAGAGGAGCAGGGCAAGTAAAATTAATTGAGCTCTGTCCTAAAAGAAACAATAAGCTTTTTATTGGTCTATTTATTTATTTTTTACTATGACTGTCACTTGTATTCATGGCTTTTATTTTGATTTTTTCTCACTTTATACAGCTGTTCCACGCACAAGTGATACACAGTGCAGCTCAGTTCCAGAGCCTAGGTATGGAAGGAGGATTGGCTCCGAGTTTTCAGCAGGCTCTGTTGTTCGATTTGAGTGTAGTCCTGGTTATCTACTACAAGGCTCAAAAGCTATCCGATGTCAGTCTGTCCCTAATGCCTTGGCTCAATGGAATGACACAGTGCCAAGCTGCGTAGGTAAGCAATTACATTTAAGTCGTCTGTTCTGTCACACGTCTCTGAATTAGAGTTCGGGAACTGTTTGAGAAAATAGTGGTTAACACATATATTCCCTCTCCTTCGATTAATATCAGTCATGCCCAATTTAAAAGAGCAGTTTTCCATATCAAAAAGTAATTGAGTACCAGCTGGCTAGCAGACAATATAGTGTTTCATATAATGACTTGGATTTTATGAACAAGTGTGATGCACATTTTCTTAAACATTCATTATTTTCATGACTTATCTACAGCTTGAAATACTGGACAGAATTTATTTCTGCAGAAGTGTCTTTACCTGTTTTGTTACACAGCATTTACTGTGTATTTCTATCACACATAGGATGAGGATTTCTTTTTTAAGCAGAACCATATGTGTACGTTGAATAATGACAGCATTATTAAGTATAGCTAACTTTCTTTAGTGTGTCAATAGACATGCACTGGAATAGTGTTCAGCACATCACCTTTTTTTTTTTTTTTGGTAAATGTTCTTGGATTTATATCCAAAAGTCATTGCTAGTAATGGGAATTTACTCTATAACTAATTAGAGTGTTCTAAAAATAAATGTAGGTGTCCTATTTTCTCTGTATTCTGGTGGATTTTTTTGTTTGTTTAGTTTTGTTCTGTTTTCTTGAACCTTAAAGAAGAACATGTATATCAGTATAAATATTTTATGTACTACGCTGCTTTCCCAGCTAGATCCAATACTGGAACTGTCTTAGGCTGTGGGTAAGTTAGAAAATTTCTGTCAATCATGATTGTGTTTAATGTTATGTCTTTATAGTTTGTTGTTACTCTCAGGTAAGACATGATTAGGCTTTGATGCTGGGTTTTTCTGGACTGCACATATTCAAAATGAAGTTGATTTCTGAATTTTTTATTCATGCAGGTTGTATCTTATGCTTGATATCATTCACATATTTTAGATAACGAGCTTCCCAAGTTCAGATGATTACTTCATGTCTACGTGTTTATGCTACAAAAGCTAATTATTATAATGATCTTAGTAACATTATTACTATTCTTCTGTTATCTGTAGTGGTTTAAGTTGTGTAATAATTTGTGATAATACTTTCTTTCAGTGCCATGCAGTGGGAATTTTACTGAGCGCAGAGGTACTATTCTTTCACCAGGTTACCCTGAACCTTATGGTAACAGCTTGAATTGTGTGTGGAAAATCATAGTGACTGAGGGATCAGGTATTCAGGCAAGTCTGTATTCTGTCAAGCATGGAATATTAAGTACTTTCTTTATTTCTCTAGAAATTTCTTAAAATAGTAATCAGATAATTCTGGGTGGGTACTTGACATATTTGTGGTCCAATTTTCTAATTATTTTTCTTTGGTTTGCATCATTTTATGTTACTTTATTTTCACATGATGTTATGAATCAGAAATGATTGACTAGGAGTTTTCTGGTTTAACTGTGTAGTATTTTGGAAACAGGTCCTGATCCTTTAGTCTGTTATGCAAATGCCAACCCTGTCTATCTGCTAGGGTATTGCTGAGGCACTTGAGAGGCCTGCAATTATCTTGATTATCTTATCTTTTACATCTTGAATAACTATTTAAAATGATGCAACATACATGCAGAATCCTTCTTACTTACTTAGTGCCACATTTTCTAAGAATTAATACAATGTAAAATGTGAATGTTAATGTTTTATTTACACTTTTTTCACTGAGGTGTCCTTGTTCAGATCTCCTATTTTTATTTTCTTTAGGATAGATTCTCTTTTTATTTTGTTGTTTCTAAAACATTTCAAAATGCATATGGCTAGTTGGCCTAAAAAGTTCCATGATTGTGTTTTACAGATACAGGTCATCAGCTTTGCCACTGAACATAATTGGGACTCCCTTGAAATATATGATGGTGGAGATGTGACAGCACCACGTCTTGGGAGCTTTTCAGGTGAGGATATGCCATGGTTTAAAGATATATTTAAAGTTTTACATATAGATGTGTGAGAGAACATGTCTTTGTTTGCTCACACATATAGACAAGGAGTATGTATTACATAATTTGTGATATCATTATGAAATATTCTTATTTTAGTAGGAGACTTCAGGTGCTGTAAGCATGTCAGTATGCAAATTCAAAGACATTTTCAGAAGAAAATATGATACTAATTTTTTTAACTTTGATTGGTGGGATTTAGTTGATAATACTTTCAAAAAAAATTATTTATCTTACCTACCCCTCCTGTAGAGTAGATATAGTGATATAAATTGGTACTGACATTCAAAGAGCTTCCTTCAATAACTTTGACTTAATTTATCCGTATTAGCCTCCCTTTTCAGGAAAAACTTGAAGCATTCAATATTTATTCAAACTACCAGGCCCCACAGAACAAAGATAATTCATACAACTGGAACATAACAAAAACGAGTTGTTTAAAATGTGCATCAAGCACATATACTTTTACTCCTTTTATATGAGATTATTTTTATAGAAAGAGTATGTTCTATAAACCAAAACAGGAGAAAAGGATTAAATCATGAATAATAACCCAGACTCCTGATCATGGATCTGATTCTGGTGTAGCTAAAACATTTCGTGGATTTTTGCTTCTCTGATGATTTCATGAACTTTTAAAGTCTGGGTGCATATTGGATTAGTAAGGAAATGGAAGATGAACTGAAAAATTAGCCCCATATAATTTATTTGGCTATTGAATTAATTAATTTGAAATTGCATCTCAAAATTTTCATATTGAAATGCATTGTGGGTTAACCTTAGTAGGCAGCTTGCTCACTTCCAACAGTGGAATGAGGGAGAGAAAGGGAAGACTAAAAGTAGAATAACTCATGGGTTGAGATATAAGCGTTTCGGTAAAAGCTGCATGTGTAAGCAAAGCAAAAGGAACTAGTTTACCATTTCCTATGTGCAGGCAGGTGTTCAGCCACCCCCAGGACCGCAGGGCTCCTCCTTCACACATAATGGCTGCTTGGGAACAGAATGCCGTAACTGCCAACATCCTCCCCTTCCTCTTCGGTCTCCCAGCTTGGTCAGTTGGGTTCAGCTGTCCCCCACCCTCAGCCTTCTCATGAGTGGGAAAGTGTGAGAATGAGATACATTGCTCTTGGTTGCCATTGCTGATACTATAATGAAACATTTAAGTAGAAAACTCATCCTCATTCCCTTTTAAGCCTTTAGGGAGGCAAAAATGTACTTTACTGCCTCCTAGGAGATTTCCCTATTTTCCAGATTGCAGACACGCATTCAAAGGTTGAGAAGCCTGTCAGACTCCAGTATCCTAACCTGATATCCATCTATATGAGTATTAGATGGAGATATCTTCACTCAAGCTATCATCAGTGATATCTGCTCCTGCCCTTTAAGTGCCATTTCTCTGTTTTGATAATACAGGAAGTCCAAAACAATTAGGACACTGTAGACACTACATCTGGTTACCACACTGAATCAAATCTTCCATACTTCATATACCCAATCCCAGAAAAAGCAGATTTTGGCAAGTGAATAATAGACTTGCAGTTAGATTATAGAGTCATAAAATCATGGAACAATCTAGGCTGGAAAGGTTCTCACAAGATCATCTAGTTCAACCTTTTGTGCAAAAGGGAAGCTAGATGAGATTGTCCAGCACTCTGACCAGTCACATCTTGAAAACCTCTGGTGATGGGGACTCTACCACGTCCCTAGGGAGGCTGTCCCGGTGCGTGATTGTTCCCACTGTGAAAAAGTTCTTTCTAATGTTGAGATGAAACCTCTACTAATGCAACTTGCTCCTTGTCTTCTCCTTGTGGCTCCCAGCAAAGTGAGAGCTTCTGTGCTTCTTGTAGCAGCCCTTTAATTACTGGAATACTGTGATGAAGTCCCTCTGAGCCTCCTCTTTCTCAGGGAGAAGAGACCTAACTCTTTCAGTGTTTCCTCATAGGGGAGGTTCTTTAGACCTTTGATCATCTTTGTGGTCATCCTTTGGAACCTCTCCAGTCTTTCCTTGTCTCTCTTGCATTGAGGGGACTGGAACGGGACACAATACTCCACGCAAGGCCTGAAGAGTGCTGAGTAGAGTGGTATAATCACATCTTTATTTCTGCTAGTAATGTCCCTCTGGATGCAGCTCAGGAACCTATTTGCCTTCCCTGCTGCAGCAGTGCACTGCTGATTCATGTTCAGCTTGTCCACTAGGACCCTCATCTCCCTTTCAGCTGCTCCCTAGCAACATGAATCCCAGCCTCTACCAGGCTGTTTTGGTTATTCTGGAACACATATAGGACTTCACACTTGTCTTTGTAAAGTCATACTCTTCTTGCTACTCTTTCAATCTTTCCCAGTCTCAGTATAAGATGGCTGACAAGTCAGCCTCATCACTCAGTTTTGTGTCATCAGCAAAGGTGTTGAGGGTGCTTTCAAACCCTATCACCCAAATAATTTCTGAAGATGTTGAAGCAGTGTGGGGACCAATCCCTGGGGTTTCTATTTTTGACAGGAATCCAGCCTAAATGATGCCACTGAATGTGAAAATTATGATAATTAAATACTAGCCTCATTTATTTCCCTCAGTACATTTAGGATATAACTTCTCGTCTTATTGAATATCACCTTTAAGGAAGTAAAAGACTGGTCTGAAATGTTAGCAGATCCTGCAGAGGAACAAAACTGCCAGGAGATCAGTTTTGTTCAATAAAGAGTATAAACTATGACATAACATCTTCATTCTTATAGGATGCCTTAAACATCCCTTAATATATTTCAAATTCTATACAGATACTATTGAGGAATATATTCAGTGCAGGTACCTGAGTGAGCAGCTGCAGTGTGAGCTGCAGGTTGAGCTCTGTGTGGCAGAGCCCGAGGCAGAAGGCCATGATCTGCTGACCCTTTGCACAATAAAAGCCCGGGGAGCTGCGGCCCAAACAGGAGACTGGACACTCAGAGACACAACAGGAGCTGGGGATTCTGCAGGAAGAGCTGAGCCTTTCACACACAGGTAGACTGTGAGGATGTAAAAGCCCAGGGGATTCTTTTGTTCAGGTCCGTCCTTTAAGGCACCAGCTCAAGCTATTTCTGTGTTTCTGCACTGTGAATAAATTGGTTTGTGGAACAAGACATCTGAGACTCTGCTGTGGGAAACCTGGGATCGAACTTGTGAGGAAACCTGGCCTGACTGCGTGAGTGCAGGGTGTGCAGGGAGTCAAGGGGGAACCTGCCAGCTCACTACAGCCACCTGCTGCAAAGGGGCACTGAAAATCTCTGGTGGTGGGAGTGTGACTAGCCTGTCTGGGTGGTCGGACAGGGAAGTCTCATAGCAAATACTATGAAAAGTTCTTCTTCCAGGAAGGACTGTTTTCCAGGATAAGTATTGTGTGATGTGAGTGCTCTGTGCTGTCTGTAAATTTCGATACTTTTGAGTTTCCATGTCAGATAGTAAGACCTTTCTTAAAGGCAAACTTGTCATCTCTTAGCTCCTCACAATTTATATCAAGATTTTACTTAATACAGTTATAGATTTAAAAGTATTTACCATTTTCTAATTTAGATTGCAGACTTAGAAAGATAATTCTTTCCAGCATTTCTTTTTAAGCCAAAGTTTCAAACTCATACCTAGGCTGCTCACAGTTACCATAGAAACAGGAAATGCCCCACAGGAAATGAAAATATTTCTTATGCATTCACCACTGAAGATCATTAGCTACTTGATACTGTCTTTCAGGGTAATCAGAGGAAATGATGTAATTTTTAGCCTCAGTAGATCTTCCAGCTTTAGACTGTAGAATATGAATTGCATGGGTATCACTCAGTAATAAATACAACGTTCTGTCAGACTTAGCAGTTCCAGTGGCAAAGAATGTAACCAGGGTTAGCGATAAGCTCGTTGTGTAGCACACACTAAAGTCAATGGCACAGTTTCATTATAGATATTTAACTTAGAAAAAGCTAGTATGTCTTTTTTATCTTTTAATGTGTTGTACCTGCTTCTTCATTTCCTGTCACATTCTCTGAATTAGCATAAATGGTTGAAATATTGTGGGAAAAATGTGTGGACTGGACATAGAGAAAAAAATCTGCACCATTTTCTTCTGTACTGCAGGCTTTATACACGTGGGGAACAAGGCAAATGGAAGTTGAGCTTGTTCTCATAATCAAATCCTTTACTTATGTGATTTTTTTTTTCTGTTTACATCTCTTTTTTTTCTCTCCAAGTCAATAAAGTTTCGTCTAAACATGATGGGATCTTGTTTGATTGTACTTACAAAGCCTCTTATTATTATGACTTGTAATCAAAATTTTCTTCCTGCTTCAGGAGAAAACAAGGCAGAACATAGCAGAATATTTGAGATTTCCATGCACATAATGAGAAGAAAATAAGCTTGTCTGATTCAGTCCTGGTTATGTCTTTTCAATATAAAACTTTAATGTATCAGCGTGCTACAGTTATTCCATAACTTTTATTTCTCCAGGTACAACTGTGCCAGCATTGTTGAATAGCACCTCCAATCAACTTTATTTACATTTTCACTCTGACATTAGTGTGGCAGCAGCTGGTTTTCACCTGGAATACAAAAGTAAGACTCCTTGTTCTTTGAAACTTTCTTAGGAAAAACCATGTATTCATATTATTCTTTATGCTTACTCGCTTTTTTGTTTTTCCTTTCTTGACTACCAAGCCTGGTGTAAGTGGTATCTATTAAACTGTAATTTTAAATGAAGTGTCATTTGAAATTACTGAAAACCAGCTTTCACAAACTAGCAACATATAACAAATGAACCTGGCAAATCAGAACATTTTTAAAAATGTGGGCTTTAATATTGGTGTGAGGTTTCTTCAACATATTTCAGCTTAGTTCTGACACTTAGGTGGCCAAAACCAAAAAAAGTAAGAGTTAATTTCCCTCCTTGGAAATAGATAAAAACTAGAATAAATAACATATTTATTTTCCATATATTCATGCATATATTTATGCCTCGCTGTTCTTTTTCTTCAAATTATTTTCTCTCAACAAATTGCAGTAATTACAAAGCCCAACATTTTAATCCCAGAGCTAAAAGAAGAGATTACAGTTATCTTGGTAAATCACCGGTAGTATGAGCAAAACAATATAAAAATTTTAATTGAAAATTCTGCTATATACCAACTGTTTATATGTTTTTGAGCAGCTTGGTTCTGAAATACAGAGGTTTAGAGCTATAAACAGTGGATTACCTCACATAATTATATTTAATGCAAACACGTATGTTCGTATTATTGCATCTCTCCAAAATTTAAAATACTATAGAATAACAGTAAATTCAGTATATGTGCTTGCACAGTATTGCTTTTAATGGGAAATAGGTATTGCTAAGAACAGTTCTAGTATTTAAAATGTGATGACGACAGTCTGATGAGGATTTTGATGAAGGTCAGAAAATAAATACGCTTTAATTTTTGAGTATCAGTGTGCTCTCTTTTCTTTCAAAGGCCACTCAAAAATTTTCTTGAAAATTGAGTTAGTTTTTTCTATAACACAGTGTCCACTATTAATGTCTAAAAATAGTAATGTTGTTATTAATATTTTAAAGAAGTACACATAAGTTAGATGTTTTTTAGTAAACTCTATTTAGGATTGAGATTAAAAATTGTAAATAAAAGATAAAGCTGCACAGAATTTCAAAATATTAGTTTTTCAGCTCATAATAAATATTTTAAACAAACTGTAGTCACAGGATAGCCTTATGTTTTCATTTAGTTTCCTGTATATTTCAAGCCTTTATATGCAAATATCTTGTAGGATTTTTCCAATACAATCATTCTAATGGTGATGCTGAATGAAAATATGAATATTAATTATGCCGGATTTTTTTTAGAATCTATTATTTTGACAACTTCCCTTTTTTTTTTTTTTTTTTTTTTTTTTTTTTTTTTTTTTTTTTTTTTTTTTTTTTTTTTTTTTTTTTTTTTTTTTTTTTTTTTTTTTTTTTTTTTTTTTTTTTTTTTTTTTTTTTTTGTCTGGAGACCCCTCCTCCCCAGCTGGTCTTTTTGTTTCCCTCCTCCAATCTTTCTCCTTAACCTTAAGTGAAAGTATAATTCCATATGAATTGTAAAGAAGTACAAATTTATTCTAGGAAGTCATACAATGATCATTTTTAAATTAAATTTTTATGTTTTATTATCGCTGTGACTCCTGAAAAAAAAACCTGTTCTGTTAACAAGTAAAATCACTTAGATTTATACTTTTGTTCATCTCCTACCACAACTGTGCTCTGCTAAAGCATCTATTGACTTCAGTGGTGCCAATATTTCAAGGCCAGGTTTTTTCAGAAGTGCAGCTCAGTACAGGTCAAGGTACTGAACATTGGTTCAGCATTCAGAGCTTAGTTAACTATTCTGTTGATAGTCTAGCAGGAAAGAAAAATTTCCTTTCTTCTGTGTCTATATGGTCTCTGCAGGTCTAGCAGGAGTGCAGTGTATCTCTGTGTGTCTGAGTGCAGAAACTGACCAACTCCCCACAGGAAGAATTTGCTGTTTTATATTGAGCAGACAACTTATTAGATCAGGGAAAAAAGCAGAGAAGGAAGTACCTTTTCTGTGTAACAAGATGCAGATATTGCTAGTGTTTGATTATGAATTCTAAAGCTTGTGATCATTTGGAAGCACCATCTGAAAAAATAAATGCCCTTGGTTCAGAAGTCAAGCTAAAATTTGGAACAAAGTGCCCTGTTGTTGAGAGGTAGTCTCACTAAAAAAACCCACAAAAATACCAGCTATCCAGGAAAAAATATTCAACATGAAATGCTGTGTTTGAACATCAGATACTTTTGATAAAATCAAAGGAAAAGGAGAGTGGTAGGATCACACAATATGTGTGCAGCTTTAGGTATCACAATATAAAAAGAACATTAAACTATTAGAGAGCATTCAAAGGAGGGCCATGAGGATGGTGAAAGGTCTGGAGGGGAAGTCACATGAGGAACAGTGGAGGTCACTTGGTCTGTTCACCCTGGAGGAGACTGAGAGGAGATCTCATTGCATTTACAACTTCCTCATGAGGGGGAGAGGAGGGCAGGTACAGTTCTCTTCACTCTTGTGAACACGACCTGGGAAAAGGGCATGAAGCTGAGTAGGGGGAGGTTTAGGTTAGATATCAGGAAAAGCTGTTTGGCCCAGAGGCTGTATGACCAGTGGAAAAGGCTCCCCAGAAAAGTGGTCACAGCACCAAGCCCATCTGAGTTCACGAGGCATTTGGACAGCACTCTCAGTCCCATGGTGTGACTCCTGGGGTGTCCTGTGCAGTGCCAGGAGTTGGATTTGATGATCCTGATTGTTCCCTTCCAAGTCAGGATATTCTACGATTCTATAATAAGATTTCTTCTCTACTGAGAAGACTTTTAGGAATTACAGTAGAGAGAGTTTTTCTAATTATAGATATTACTAGAAAAATATCAATTCTCAGTAAGAAGCTGTCAAGCTCATCAAATCCAAATCTGAACTTCAAATCCTGCATCCGCAGGATACAGCAGGGATAGAAGAGACAAGTTGAACCTAAGAGTGTTTCATCCAGCCTTACCTTTTGCATATATCACAAATTACATTAGTAGATGAAACTGCTCTAAACTAACCATTTCAGAATCCTGCATTCCTGATGTGCTAACATGAAAAAAGTCTTTATAATGGCATTAGGAAAGGAGAATCACTTAGGAACATTCATCGCAGAAGAAATTCCAAGGATCAAGGAGCAACAGCAGAGAGTGTCTTTAAGTCACTACTAAATTATTTCTCCACAATAAAAATTATTTCTTTTTTAGAATAAATGGATGAGATTTTCTACTTAAAAAGATATTTTAACAAATGTAAAACCAAAGATGCTTGGTTTTCGATCACTATGTTAGGGAAAACCGCTTTATTTCAGTAAAATATATTTAGTTTGATGTCATTGGATCACATATATTTCACACTGTAAATTGCTGTTTTGAAGTAATACTCATTTGAAGTAACTCATAAATACTTTATAAAAGCTTCAGCCTTTGATGACAGGTTATTTTAATTGTAAATATCTTAAGATATTTTAAGTATTTGAAAAAGTGCTCTTTTATTTCTTGAAGCACTTTTTTTCCTTTAAGCAATATGTCTTTCTTTTGCTCTATCCATTTGCAGGTTCTTTTTATGTATGTCTTTATTTTAATGGAAAGGGTCTGAGCAGTCTGCTCCTGCAAACCGAAGTGCATGTCTAACCTAAGCAGTGCATAGCTTTCCTTTGTAACCTTCAAAAACACACAAGTCTTATAGTGAATAATTTAATTTTGTCATTTGCTTTAGGATGATTTTGTGACAGACATCAATGTAGGTATGATTTGGTTGTCCAAGTTGAGTGGGCTTAATTTTTATACTACAGTCAAATTGATGACTTAGATTCCACCCACCCCTGTCCCGTTTCTTTGTTGTTTGTTTTGCTTTTTTATTTGGTTTGGTTTGGTTTGGTTTTCAAGTCAGATACACAAACTTACTCAATTTAAAAGAAACACTTGGTCAGTGCATTAGAAAAAATTCATTCCAGTCATAACATAATTTTAAGTATTGTTCAGAGTCACTGTGTGGTGTTGTTTCTTGTTATTTCAGAAGGGTTGTAGGTGTTTATTCTAGTTGCAGCAAACTATGGTAAACAAAGCAGTAAAATACGCAGTAGATATCTGTAGGAAAGACAGTAATTAATCATTTAACTAATCCTTTGTATGCATGTGGTAAAATAAATAACATAATTATTTGCACAACAAGCAGCAAGTCCAATCAATATGTGCTTTGTTGCATTTCTAGTAAGTACAACAGTAGGAAGAATATATATTCCTGATATTTGATGAATTCCTTTTAATCTTAATGAACAAAGGAATCAATTATCCAAATTATATGGTTTAGAAATGTGCCTGTTTAATTCAATGGCTATTGATGTTTCAAGCTTGCTCTTAAAATCTCATTTATTAATTATTAGTTTAAATATTTTAGTTAATATGCAAATAATTTTAAAAATAGTCTGGAAATGATGAGTGTTTGCTCAGCATGCTGCTTGAACTTCTCAGCTGAAGTCAGGTTTGTTTTAGTAAGAACTGAATATGACTGAATATGATGAATACTGACATGTTTAGGACACAAATATCTATAAATATATATATATATATAAAATGTAGCAATTAGAATTAAAATATTTCAGTAAAAATCCTGTTTGATGCAATCAGTGTTTTAATAGTGTCATCTAGCCTTATTGCCTTGTATTAGGATGTATGGCACAAGTTAGCAGCATCCATTTTACAAGCTCTTAGCTTACTGCTATACCAAGACGAAGGAATACATATGAGAACATAAGCTTACTTTTAATTGTCTCCTTTTCTGAAACCACTCTATTGCATCTTTTCAAGTATTAAAGGTTCTCAGCAGCTGAAATAAAAGGATTCACTGCTAAGGGGACTAGAGAAGATGACTGTCTTTTGCAGAACTTCTCTATCATGAAGATCTCTAATAAATTCAAAGATAAAAATCAGGCTAGCAGAGAAGAAAATGCATTCTTCCAAGCAGCATATTGTATTTTACAGGTTCAGATTAAGATCTTTCATGCAATTCAGTCTTTATTGTGGCTCTTCAGTGCAGCAATCTTTTTTTTTTTCCCCCTGTGTTAAAGCAGGTGTGAACCATAAACATGCCATTTTTAATTTAACAGGTCCTGATCCTGTCAGTATATCTATACAACTTACTAGCTGTTGACAAGAATCTGACCTCTCTCCAGTAACTCATCGAGATAAAGGCATTTTCTAGGCTGGTGTCTGAAGCATGAAGTTTTGAAAGGGACAGCTTGGATTTTGATATACACCATCATCAAAATGAAAAGAACAATTCACTCCAGCTTGATGTTTGGAATATAATAAAGATTAATATGTTTCCCTTAGCTGCATGGGAGTGGGTGGAATTCAGAAAAGACAGCCTGATGACTTTTGGTCCAGCTGTCAAGAAATTCATGTGTTGTCCAGCTTGCAGCTTTCAGAAATGGACACTAATGGCCATTCACATTGTCAAATATGCCAGCAAGGATTTTCTTTCTGCCAGCAATGGCAGTGATGTCTGGACAGAATCTGAGGTAATTGCAGGCATGTATATAATTATGTAAGTAAGACATATTTGTCTTATGCCACAGCAGAGCCAAGAAACCATTTAGCAAGCAGTAAGTAGAAGAAGGTCAGGGAGAGGGTTATCATTCTTGACATTGATGTGTTCTCTTTTGTACTGCATAGCAGAAGCTGAGCTCTGAAGAGCATGCATTGAAGCAATCCTTGTCCCTTTTTGATTGCTTGGACTTGACATTTAACATGTTTTCCCTTTATTACTGACTGTTCACATACAACCTAGTATAATAATGTATTTCAGAGTCTCTGAATATTTAGGTTCTCTAGTTCATCCCCAGATACCAGAATTTATTTGCTTTCTCTTGATCATTGTTTTGATTTTTGGATCAATTCTAACTAGTGCTAGCATTATGTAATGATTAGAATAACAGAGATTTGAGGATTCAGAATAGTGCTTCATTCTGCTTTCAACTTTTTCTTTTCTTTTGGGGAGGTAATATTGCTTCTTAATGTCAAGTATATCAAATAGAGTCAATTATGAGTGGTTTTCACGCAATGTTTTGTGACATATTCTGGTAGAATATTCTATAATTTGCATCATCAAAGCAGTAGTATATACAAAATATTATAGAAAGTATAAATATCTACCAGAGTTTTACCTAAGTATTAGAATCTGTTAAAGATAATTACGTAGTATAATACCATATCTAACAGTTGTACAGAAAATTACTTTGAAGATTTTCTTTTGATAATAGTTATTTTAAATTCTGTATGCTATTTAACAAATGGTAGAAAGAGCTATATTACAAACACATTATTAGTGCTCTATGCAGTCACTGTTATAACTTTTTGTAACTCAGAAGAATATGCTTATTCATACAGAAAATAAGTTTATTCATAGAGATCTAAGACTTCAGTCCTGTTGCTCTCAACATACAGGAATGCTGAGTTCAACCAAAATGCAGGTTTCTTGATGACAGGAAGTGAACTTCAAATTTACGTTCACATAATTCAGCAAGTACATAGCTATCTATAAGCAATTTATTCATCATGTCTTGATTAGGTGCTTATTTATTTAATAATAGTGAGCTTGGGTTAGATAGTTTTAAATTTTATTTTCTATTCAAGAGTGAGATGGCTGAGGAAATGCAGAAATAAGGGCTGATTCACTTAAGATAAGTCTGAACACTGGGTTCTCAAATTAGCAAACAACAGTCTGTATTCAGACATGAATACATTTGTGGAAAACAGAGTTGTTGGCCAAAAGAATGATATTGGTAAACTTGCAACAAAACCAAAATCATTAAAGTTAATAACAACATCTTTGTCATTATTTGGAACATTACAGTCCCACACAGTGACACACATGAAGTTCTTGGCACCTACACAAGGTCACCATTGCATCATTTGAAAGTTCATTGTATTGGTAGAACACCAAAATTTGTAAATTCCAAAAGAACTACTTCAGGGAGATCCCATTGCTTGCAACTACAAAATAATTCTTTATGTGCTAATTTTAAAATTTTCAGTTTAAGAACTCTTGCATCATTTTTATGAAGAGTACGCTCTCACTCAGAATTAGAATGGTTTGTCATTATCTTCATTCCTGATAAAAGTGAAAAAAATAAGACTAAAGGGCACTGGACACAGAAAGAACATGCAGGACTATAGAACTTATTTCCAGAAAAGTAAAAAACTGGGGCAGCAATCAAAATTTCTGGTAAATACATAAAACTACTGCAAACTTCCATGTCCTTTGTTAGGAAAAAATTATTTACTTCAACTACACTTTGAGCTGTAAAAGCTAGAATTGTGTGAAGCATGAAACACAAAAATCTAATATGTGCATTTAATATTCATAAGGCATTTATATTTGAGTGATGAAAAGTAAATACATAGAGGTTTAGGCCATAAAGTTAAAACCCTGTTGCGTGAACAACATCTGTAAAAAACCTGTATTTTTCTAGGAAGACCAGGGTCCCAGTGAATAATATCACATATTTCATGCTGAACCATCTGGAAAAACAGACTCAAGATGTTAGATATCAGAGTAAAGTCAAATATCATGTATTTTCTGTACTAAACACTGTCTAGCTGCATTTACTGTCACCAGAAGGGTTAGATTTCATAGGAAGACACTGAGAGTTGTAGTCAGGTGGTTTTTTTTTCACAGAAAGAAATTGAAGGATGCACAGCATCACATTCAGGCAAGTACAATGTTAGTTTGATTTTTATAGAATTTTATTCTAATAAATTCTAAAAATCTCCTCTCACACATTGTGGAAGTAATTTCCATTCTGTTCTGGCTTCCACATATCATATTTTAATAAAAAATCCCAGTTACTTATTTATGTTTCAATAGTAAGTTTCTGTAATTAATAAACAATTTCAAAATTTAGATTATACATTTTAAATTAATTTTTTAATTCAAAAAAAAAGTTTTTAACATTAAAAGGGGAATGAGATTATGTTGTCAGACCATGAATTTAAGAACTAATTCTTCTGGTCTTTCTGTTTTCAAAGAAAATCTTAAAAGGACATAATTATTTAATCTAGTCCACAGTTTCTCAACTGTCTTGTTAATTTGAAATATTTTAGCTTAGATAGCAGAGTTTTTATTTGTTTGTTAGTACTGACTAACAAACTACTCTAGCTAGGCACCCAAGGGGAAAAAAAAAGTGATATGCACTTGACAAAAAGCAGAATCTTGTACTTCATATTGAAAAATTTAGGAGAACACATTTGAGAAATTAGTAATCATGGATCATCTTTGTGAAACTAATCTTCTGTTTGCTAACACCTGCCTTAAAAATAATTAAGAATGGACTGTCCAGTCAAACTTATGAAATATTTAGTTTTGGGTTAATTTCTGAACTTCTTTATATCAATGAAGTTGTCTAAACATAAGGAGCCACCAAGAAGTTCTGCTCCTTTTTTGCTGAAAAGAGAGAATGTGCATAAAGTGTATTCCCTCTTTCTTTCTCCAATTCCTTCACAAGGATACTTTCTTATCAAAAAAACTTAACAAAAAAACTCCAGGCTGTTCAACAAACTAGAACTGCAATACTGCCTTAGAGATAATAAAACTGTATAGCAACATGACATAGTAATTGATATAGTCACAGTATATAATCTCTGTGCTTCAGTCATACCACTTGTATTCTGCAAAACAGTTCTGAAAATTTCTGTGTTTCAACAAAATTTCAATTTAGTGTTGAAATGAATTCTTAATTAATGTTATCTTTAAAAAAAGGCAAATCTGTGTACACTTATCTATGTTCTTTCAATCTTTGTGTTTACTTTTCTCAGCTGTAGGCCTTGCAGCCTGTCCAGAACCAGTAATTCCTAGCAATGGGATCAAATCAGGAGATAGATATATGGTGAACGATGTTCTGTCATTTCAGTGTGAGCCAGGATACACATTACAGGTATTTCTTTCTTTCTTTTTTCTTTGAATTATACACTGTGGAATAATTGCAATAAAATGGCAACAGACCCACCCAAAACCTATTCTAATGAAGAATCTGTAGTGTGTACATAGAGGTGATTTAAGTAGAGCCTATGTGAGTGCTCCCACACTATAAAGCTACAAATGTATGACATTTCTGGCCTTCAATAAATCTGGACTGACAAATCTTGTCTTAGATCAACATACCATTGAGGAGTAGACCATCACAATGGACATGGAAATAACAGGGTTAAAATGTTTCCTGTAGGAAATTAATATAGTACTATGCTGTGTATTACTGTGGTTTTCCTTTTTTGGCAGTGATTTCTCTAGGTGAAATTGTAACCATGGTGGTAGAAACACATCCTGAGATTTCGTATTTTGTTCAGGAATTGTAAAATTTCTAAAGCAAATTTTATTTGTGCTAAATCTACTCTTAAAAATCCTTCAAGGCAAAAAAGTATTTAAAATTACTTTACTGATTGAGGATGTTTTCTATTTACACACTGGTTTCCCATGGTAGATGTGATTGAGCTGCTGTTTGTAAATGTCTAAGACCGAAAACCTCTCTTCTCTCATCAGTTAGTCTAATTCATTTACATATATTCCACCACTAGTATGATACATTGAAAACACCTGAGATCAGAATATTTTGGTTGGTAATAGGTCCCACTCAAGCCAATGCAAAATCTGTATCAGAGAAAGCAAAGTATCACAACTTGTTCTCCAGACAAGGATAAATTTCCCTATCAAAGGACAGCCAATTCAGTGTTCCCTCGGCATATATAGGATTTTTCTTACTTCTCAGTATTCCTTACCATTCTTCTAAAATTCTGATAGGATTCAGACTTAGTGTCTTAGCTGGCTGTGGAAACACCTGCACATGAAACATGTCTCTAGGTAATCAGAAACATACTCACCTTTTCCGTCACGTATGACAAAGGGTCAAATATTTAAACTAATCCTTGCTCTTTACATCTTTAAAACAGAAGCATTCCAGATCCATAGCAAAAAAGATTCTGTTATATGAGTATCCTACTTATCAAAGATTCAAGACTTGAGCACAATACAGCCTACTCTATCCTTCACTGCTTATTTAATGGTTTGAAGATGATTGCTTAAAAGCTAGATGATGGTTCATATGTAAACTAGTTAAGCTTTTTTCTTTCCAGCAAAATAAAAATTAATATAATTCTGAAAATACCTATAAGTATGAAACATTTAAAGTTTTTAACTTTATTTTCTCTATTTCATTTTTCCCTTACAGTATCCTTTGTAGGTAGCATGTCAGTAAGAAAATGAGAAATTTGATAACATTTTTACGATATGGTTCCTTCAGAAGGACTATCTATCATTAAAGCTTGGCTCCCAAATAGATTCTGACTTCCATTTAAAGACTTTCATTGGGCCATGAACAGTTTTCTATTTCAAAGTAGTATTGAACTAAGTATATGATGAAAGGGCAGATTCTACGGATATATAACAGCTCAGTAATTATCACAAGCCAGAGATTTTTCCTTACAGGCAGTTTGCATTGTGACACTATTTCAGAGGAGAATTCAGAGGGAAAAGGTTAAGGAGATAGATATACAAAACTGTGCATTTACCCTCCAGGCTAGGAAACAAGCCCACACAGTTCCACTAGTGCAGATGTATCTTATATATCCTTATAGTGCTTTTTTTGCATGCATTGAGCTAAATTTAGCATTATTCCTAGACTCAGGACAGTCTATTTCAGTGCAGAATCTATCTGGAAGTCAGCCTGCAATAAACTTGGTTACACAGCAATAAATATAATTGTATTTTAAGAGTTTTTGGATTAAATAAAGAGTAATCCCCTTTTTAGGTTTTCATTGTGACCCTAGAGGTAAACGGCCATACACCTCCATGGCCTAATTCAAACTAAGATTTTGTGTTAGGACAGTAACCTTAATCTTAAAGTATCATTCTTCTTCACTCACTAGGATAACAAAAGGATAACACAAGTATCTAACTTGAAACTGCTTAGATTCAGTGGGGTGACTTCTATTACCCATCATATTACACCCTCTTTCTATCCCTACCTTTTTTCAGCTGGAAAACGTTTGAATTTTGCATATGAGAAAAGGTATTATTGCCTTTTTAATTATATGGATTAGAAGTAGATAAACTCTCAAGATACAGCTTCCTCAAATCTTATGTCTGTACTTAAAATAGTATGGATGAATTACTGAGGTGGAATGATAACAGTAGACTATGAATCCTTCAGAAGTGGTTGGAATAAGTACAGGAAACGTTTTGAAAGTACACATTCTCAGCCCTGACTTGATGTTTTGGATCTATTCTTATTTAGAAAATAATCAGAAATGTGAGTTCATAAATACAGTATTAGTATAAAGCAATCATGTGAGGAAGAGATCTTCATGTAAAAAAACCCTCATCTGTGATAAACCTAAATTTCAATACACTGTGTATATCACTATCACAAAACCATATTTCTTTTGTCTGTATGCAGTTCTTATCTGTAGCCCTTTAATATGACTAACTTTACTTTTGTTTTTATACTTACAGAGATTCTATCATTAAATACTTTCTTAAAATGCCACAGCATATTGTCCCTTAACTGTATTTTTACTTCTATTTCCATACATATAAAAACTTAATACTAACATGGAATACTTTATATATACATATATATATAAAATACTAGTATGGAATTTGACATATATAAAAACTAGTTTCATGAGCTTATCTAAAGTGTAAAACAAAAGAGGTTCAATATTTAAATTCAATAGAAAAGAGTCTGAATCTTTTCAAAATCTTATTGAGAATTTCTGTGCTGATGGACTCTGCTGTAAGAAAGTGCATACACATTTATGTTGCTTAGACAGGACAAATAAAAATGGTTCCAAATTAAAAATAAGTAATAATGAAAATAAGGTTCTATGGGCACAGTATGTTTGCTATTCAAAAATATAGATCAGCACAACCTTGCAGGATATTTTCTTTTTCCACTTGGCAGTGAATTTATCCTGAGTCTTTAGAGAACATATTCACAGCTAGCAATAACAATCAGGTGAGGATTAGTTTATAATTGAGACTTACCAGAAAAGTCATAGAGCTCAAACTACTACCTAGAGATACATAAGAAAGGTAATTGCTAGCTGTAGGATTAAGTGTCTCCCCACAGGAGGGAACTTTAAAAGACTGAAATCAGAGTGAACTCTTGTTGAAAAGATGCTTCAAGCCAGAGGAATCATTTAATTTTATTTTTCAAAAGATCTTTTATAGGCCATTTTATGATTTTCCTTACTGTGGTAGTTAAATTATGGCTTCCCCCTCGACTCACATCACAGACATGCAATCACAGAAGACTAGAAAGAGAGAGTAAAATAAAACAATGCAATCATAGAAGACCAGAAAGAGGGAATAAAATCAAACAGCGAACATTGCATTAAGTAAATTATTCAAAGCTAATCCATTTTGCAAGTAACTAAGATGACACTAAGTGCATGCACATTTTTTCCTTTAAAAAGGCTGCTGTTAAGAAATAGCTTTTTATTCAGTTGTTATCAATTTGTAGTGTTTTTATACGAAAAAGACTAATTTAATTTCTCATCATTTTAGTGAAAACAAATCTTTTTTTTCCTTTCAAGTAATTTTCTGGATATACTTCAGTTTGGCTTTCAGAAGCTGATTGCCTAAATATACTCAACTAAATGATTAATAAACTAGTTTTATTCTGTACAATTCTATATGAACTTTATTCAATGTAATGTGTGTAAAAATTCCAATTAATGTGGAAGTAATTTTATCAAATGAATTTTCCTTTACTGTAGTTTAGTTATTCTTTGCCTTTTTTTTTTTTTTTTTTTTTTTTTTTTTTTTTTTTTTTTTTTTTTTTTTTTTTTTTTTTTTTTTAATAATGTGAATATGATTGCTATGGACAAATTATATTTAAATAAGTTTTCATATTATATTCACAAGATGTGCTACCTTCCTAAATACTCTTAATGGACTTAATAGACTTTTTCTTAATAGACTCTTAAAACACTTGATAAAAATAAAAGAAGTGATGTTAATATATCCAAGTGATTAAAATAAGAACCAAACCATGTTCGCAATCCCATGTCTCAATCTTTGTATCAGTTGCTTTCACTCCTGCCAGTTGATTCAGTTTTCACATTCCAACAGCAGAACGCATAACTGAATTCAAATTGACAAAAAAAAAAAAAAAAAACTTTTGTTTGTGCTAGTGTTTTCAGTCTGAACTGTTACCAGAGCAAACCAAGCCGGGATCAGTTTGCGGTTGGTCCTAGGCAGCCAGCCTGAAGTATGTGGGATTAGACTTTGCAGGTTATAGCCATGGTTTATTTCACTTTCCAGCTGCCACATGCTTCTGCTTGGTTCTTGGGATTTTTCTTAAAAATAGGCAGAGTAAATTAAACATGACAGCTAAATAAAGAGGCACTTGTTCTTGTACATCTGAATGCCAAGATATTGCACATACACAGTGGGTCATGATGAGAGGCCATGTGAGAGGTCAAGGCCTGCTGGTTATTTTTTGATGACTGTCTTGACATGGTTCACATCCATACCACCTATAGCAAGTAGATGTGGAATAAATTCCTCTCTGTGTCTGTACTGCTTACCCAGAGCAACTGCAGCCTAAAAATCAATGCCTGTGCTTCCACTGTGGATGGAACACACTAGAATTGAAATAGGGAGTGAACTAATTTGACTATATTAATGCATGTAGTTAGCTGCTTTTGTCTTATGACTATACTTATATTTAGTCAAAAATGTGAAGGGGTTTTCAAGTTAGCAGAAGAAGGGTGTTTTAGAACATTTATCCATTAGAAAAATAAGAACATAAAAAATGAAGTATTTGAAAATAGTGTTTCAGAAATTCATTCAAGTAATTGTAATGCAGTTGGCTGATATAAGAAAAGACACTGATTAGATTATCCAGGAGGTCCTCTGTAGCTCTGCCTTTCAGGAAAGTCCCATAATGAATATTTGTAATCTAATATTTTGCCCTTTCCAAACAGGGCCGTTCCCATATTTCTTGTATGCCAGGAACAGTTCGACGCTGGAACTATCCATCTCCTCTCTGCATTGGTATGGATCCTTACTTGTTTTCACCGTTCCGAGCATCAGTCAGAAGAAACTCCTGCCTTTGTCATGCCTGTTGTTCCTCAACTTAATTCTGTTCCGTTCAAAACATTTTTTAGTTTCCATTTGTGTCTATGAAATACAGAAAAAAAAAGAGATAATTTTTTCTTTATATATAGTGTATATGCCATTTTAAAAAATATCATTGCAGTGGGTAAAGGAGGAAACCCATTGTTTAGCTTGTCCTCAATACTCTGCTTTAAATCAGCCTGGATCTTCTTCATAAAGGAGAGGAAATTAACACATTCCTTTGCATCATGCTCTGCTTGGAGAACATTCTCAGGAACAAGGCAGGTCATGCAGGGCACCTAAAAGATTTCACAAAGAAGAAGGCAGTGGAGAGCAGCTCTGAAGCCAAGCCTTCCGGGGGGGGTGTAATGAAAAGGAGTTTTAGGGAGCCAGAAAAGGCTGTCTCTTTTCATCTGAGGAAGCTGTTAAATCATGCTGAGTTAAAAAGCATAGCTAAAAAGAATTTTTTAAGCACACTCAGGCAATTCCGGGCAGCTGTTGTTGCTAGAAGCTCGATTCTCTGCAGGCTTCTGCTGGCCCCACCTCCTACACATTAACACCTTACCCTAACAGATCTGAGCTTTCCCTGTGTAGAAAATAATCTTCTGCAGTATTCTTTTTTGGTTATACAAAGTTTACAAGAGTCAAGATTCTGCTGTCTTCTGGCATGCTTATTTCAAGAAAAAGCAGGAATTGAGGGGTGAGAAGCACAAGTTCATCATAATATTCTATCACTTCAGCTTTGAAATACATTCTTCAGTGAATGATTTTAATTTTAATAATCAGTCAGCAAAAAGCCGTTCCTATGAGCTTCATATCTAAGAGGAATTTTAAAGATTGGGATGATATAGAGCAATATTAATGTGAAATGGCTTTAAAGATTCCTTGTCAAGTTGAGCCTATATATTATTTTATATTGTCAGCTTCTGCAGAAGCAGTCACTTCTGATTAATATGAAAGCAGTGCAAGTCCTTCAAATCAATTTAAGAGATGGAGAATTTATTCATGATGGTGTGTTTGGGGGTTTGGGCAGGTTTGTTGCTTGTTTTCTTTTTGTGGTAGTCTTCTGTTTCACCTTGCATATTATAGTTCCTATTTGAAAAGAGTGTGCTCATTGAATTATGAAACTGTGCTATCCTGCAAGCTAAAATACCTCTAATACTAACAAACCCTTAAAACATTATCCCATCCCCCCTTCTCCTGCCTCCAACCCTTAAAATGTTGATTTCTTCTTTTCACTAAACAAGATATTTAGCATTGAAGTTAGAGATATTTAAGAAGTTTGAGACTGATTTCTCAGTTTTTTAGAGGAGTTCTTCCTATTTTGATTCAATTTTTTTGGTGTCATCCAACACATAGATTATTTTAATTTTTTAGTACAGTTATTAAACAGTGTCACAGTATCACAGTTGTGTTATCAGATCATGTATCAATGTAATACCTGGCATGAAGGCTCACAGGCTTTAAAGTAATGATTCCTCAAATTATAATTATAAATTACAATATTTTAATTTGGTTTCTTGAAGTTGCTCTTCCTTCATATTACTACCCTAGCAGAGGTGTAAATCAGCCACCTGTTTGCAAATTGCTTCACATATTTCTACCTTGGTTTTATGTCATTTGAAAAAATGCAAATGGGTTTTCAATTTCCAAACACATGAATTTGCTGAACCGAAGCATACTGATAGAAAGCAAAGAATAATTCTGTTATGCAGTTAGTCTATCCTCTTCCTGAATTAAAGCAAAAAACTGCGTTGGGGGTTTTTTGTTCGCTTGTTTTTAAATTCAAGTGTGGTTTTAGCTATATTGACTAATATATCTGCTTCTACATCGTGGATCAATATCATAAATCAGTTTAATTCCAAATTTGTTGCTCTGATTGTAAGGAATACTCAACATAACACCAGACGTTTTTAACCATAATTGTCAAGCTGAGAAAATGGGTTATCCAGTCTATGTGTGCAACCATACAGTTGTAGTTAAATTACAGCGAACAGATGGCATTAAGTAAACATTTTGCTTTAAATAAATTTTTTTTGTTGTTGTTTCTCCTTCATGAGGAATGTTTTGACTGTGATAAATTTGATTGTTTGGGGGTCATGGGGATAAAATGAAAAATCCATTTTTTAAATTAAGCATATGCCAAATATTAGAAGTAATCTTTTTAAAAGATAGAATGACTTCTTTTTATTTTTAATAGCTAAGTGTGGTGGAACACTGACAAACATGGGGGGCGTGATCCTAAGCCCAGGTTTTCCTGGAAATTACCCGAGTAACTTAGATTGTACATGGAAAATTTTATTGCCTATTGGATATGGTAAGTAAACTTACATTGGAAGATCAGTTATTTGTTATCATCAGATTTAAATATATATGAGTATTCTGATTTCTGGTATGCAGTAGATTTTATCCAGTGAATGTACTGTGAGCCCTTACATAATTATTTGCTATCTTTTGATTTGAAAATGGTTGGCAATTTAAAAATATATCTTTGTCAAAGCACCTTGTTATTAACTTTTTGTGCCTCAGAAACTGATTTCAAAGCAAATGAAACATCTGACATGAAGATATATGAGATGAAACAAACAATGTAGCGTTGAAATTAATGATCTTTTGTTTAAAGTCCTTAAAATTGGGACTTCACTCAAGTCAGACTAATAAGAGATGGCTGACATAAAGACTTTGATACGTTCTGTGTGTACAGCTCTACTGCAAACATTGGATTAAGTTTTCTTATTCAGCAGGTGAAATACTTTTTGATATGTCCCACTCTGCATAGGTCAGACAAAGTGCTAGAGCTAAATATCCCATATTCTTACAAGTGTTGCTTTAAAAAAAAAAATAAAGTTTATTTGGTAGCTTATTTAGTTTTTCCTGAAAAAGAAAATAATACTTTTTTTATACAATTGATTCAGTCTCAAACCACAGAGGCAAAGAAATGAGTTATAAACACTACTGAGTGAATTACCCTGGTGATTAATCTATAAGGTTCTCTCCTAGAGTGAATATGTCTCTACTACTAAATAAGACTGTCAAGAAGACTTTAGGCATTAAATATTTCATGCTGATTTGTTGGTTTATTCAGTAATTCTGTTTTATTCCCTTACAGCTGGTTCTTCAGGGTCTGCAAGGGCAAGGTTAGGCCCAAGCAGTGCAGTTGCAAGTTACTTAGGGCCATTTGGCTTCCAAACCAATGGTTCATCCCCCATTCCTTTTTTAATATCACTCATGCACATAGTCTGAGAAACTTTAATCCATATGAAGTAGTGCCAGTACTTCGAAACAGCTCTTGCCATGAGATTATGCTTATACTTCTGACTGTTCAGCATTTCTGGAATGCGGAAAGGTCTGGGTCAACCACCTGACTCCCATGGAGGGTTTGTGGTAAACTCTCCAAAATACCTGTTGCCAGTTTGTAGTTCAGTGCATCTTATAGGGCTACACAAAGAATGAAATGGCTTTAAATATACACTGTCCATGAAAAGAAGACAAATATAGGTGACTCGGGTCAGGAAAACAAGGGTAGAGTAGGTAGTTGAAACTGGGTATGTAAACTTCTGCCTCTGAAAGGACACTCCCTTAGTAGCCTTCCTGGGTGCTGAGCTGATCCTGAGTCTCTATGAGAGACCTGGCCCAGTTGCAAGGGGTGCTCCTGTGGCAGAGTCCTGACCATACCATGACACAGCAGGATTTGTGATGTGCCCCTCCCAGAGTGTTTCTGTTGACTTGTTTAAGAATCTGACAAATCCCTGGTTCTGACTATCTGACTTCCTTTCATTGGTCACTTAAGGTATGGTTATGATATTCATTGGTAACCAAAAAATTGGTAACTCTTGTAGTACTTAGCAGCTATTTCCGTAACTTAAGCATCCCACTTTAATAGTGACTAAAATACAAACATAGTTCCTATAACAATTATTATGATTTTTTTATTATTTGCATGCTGTAATATTAAGCAACATGAATTATAAAATTGTAATTTTTCTTTCTTTCTCAATGCTGCAGGTGCACACATTCAGTTTCTGAATTTCTCTACTGAAGCAAATCATGATTTTCTTGAAATTCAGAATGGGCCTCACCACACCAGTTCTATGATTGGCCAGTTTAGTGGAATTGAACTCCCATCACCCTTGCTAAGTACTACTCATGAAACACTTGTCCATTTTTATAGCGATCACTCAGAAAACAGGCAAGGATTTAAGCTGACATACCAAGGTAAGTGCAAACTAGCACAATGATGTTTATGGTTAGAAAGGAAAAACAGAATTCTAATTAGTTTTTATTATTATTTTAAACTATGTATTTGGCATATACTATATAACATTTTTAAATCTGTGGATTGTTTAATTCATAGGAATTTTTAAAAAATTCACTGAAATTTTTAAAACTGAAATTGTATTGAGTTTGGATCTTTGTTTTATTGATGTAAAAACCTGAGAACAAGATGATATTACTTGCCAAAGGTCACATAGCTGATTCCCCTTTCCATTCCATTAAGGTATACTGTTACTGAAAAATAGTACTAATATTTACTGTCTTATTTTTCCTTTTATAAAACCTTGTTATATTTAATGTAATGGGTGAGTATTTCAAAATGCAGTAAGAATTATTTTCAATAAACAGGTGAAAACTTTTATAATTCCCAAGTTATGTATTTGCAGTCTAGACTTATGTGAAAATTAGAAGGAAATTAAATGACACCAGATAACACACATTCTATATCTATTTTCAAATACATATAATCAGTATTTGAAAATGTGAACTTTTTGTGATCTTCCACTTTTGGCTTTTTTCTTGATCTTCATTTTTTTCTATCTTTACTATGCAGTTTTGAAACCATTGGCCAGTTTTAGTCAAATTTCACAGTCCTGAAATAATGCCCTTATTGAGAGGAAAGACTGAGCATTACTCCATAGATATCAATTCAGTTTGGCTTGCTGGCTACGCAGTCACAATATTCATCATCACAACTCTTTATTATGCAGTGTCTTCCCTAACTGCTATTTATGGGATACAGATGTGGGAGGGAGATAAAATATGAGAGCTTGGCATGGGTATCACATTCAAAATTTTCATATGGGCAAAAGGAAGCATACCATATATAGAAAGCTAAGAAAATATTTTTAGTCCAACTGATGCTCACACAGTCACTTTTATCATTTCTATAGAAATGGATTTGTAAAGCCAAGCAGTTGGAGCTGAGCACCTGACACATAAGTAGGTGTTTTTTCAGACTTCTTCTAATTGATCCCATTTTAGGATGTCCTCATATACTATAATTGGGAAAAAAACCCACTGTTTTTCTAATAGTGAAATTAATTTAATTTACCCTTAAAAAAAATGAGAAGTAGGCAAATAGAATCCATAGTTGCAGTCACATTTTCCAAACCCATTCTAGCTGTCTTAGTGAATGTGTTGCATATTAGGAAATGTGCACAAAATTGCATAACTTAATCCTAATCTGATTTTTTAAAATGTACTTAAATTTACATTTAAAAGGATTTAGGAATAATATATTTTTATATTTTTTTATTGGATGGTTCTAAACCCAGTTCAATTCAGGGACTATTTTTCATATATTAAAAATACTGCCATTTCTACCATCTAGAGTATAATAAGTAAAGGTATTAAGGTAGCAGACTTCTTTTTGCCACATAGATGCCTTTTTTGTAGATAGCAATCTAAAAATAAAGGGAGATTGGTGATGGATATGTTTATTCAATAAAACTTGCAGGTTCTAAAAAATGAAGTTTCCTAGAGATCTTAGGATTTTATGAAGGATAAGGCTTTTTAATAACCCTTCATCTCAAGGGAAAGCTGTCCCAGTTTAAATGGGACAAGGGTCTTTTGCTGAGAATGGATTAGGAGGAAAAGACCCAAACTTCTTTTTCTAAGCAATTATAAATCCGAATTTAAGAGGCTCCGATTGAAGGAAAACAAATTATGGAAAAGGGAAAACAAAAAAATAACAGCCCTTTATTAAAAGGTATGTGTGTATTAACAGGAACACAAAAAAAAAAACAGTAAAACAACCAAGCAATACTCCTATACCCACCAATAATCCCCTTCAAGAACAAAACCGATAAACCAGCAAAAGGAAAATTTAAATAGTTCAATTTTTAGCACCCTTTGGTGCAGTTCCAGCCACAGTCAGCAGGGGGCGCCACCGGGTCACTGGAGATGCAAAATTTGTAATGTCCTGTACCATTCACCAGGTGGCGCTGTTGAATCACTGAAGGAGCAGAAATTGTAATGTCCAGTGCCCGTCACCAGGCGGCGCTGTGAGATCCTTGGCTGCCACCAGGTGGGGGGGGGGGGGGAGAAGGGGAAGGAAAAACAACAGCAATAAAACAGAAAGTTCTCCCAATGGAAGAAAACTCACAAACTTCAGCTGACTAGGGTCCGTTGTAAGCAGGATCTGCAGCCAGCAACAGCTGAGCCAAGAGCAGCAGCAAAAACTCCCCTCCAATAGGAAAGAGACAAAGAAACCCGGCAGTGTCTGCAGCCCGCAGCAGCTCCCCTCAGGGCAGAGAGACTGAGCTCCCCCCCAGCCTCCACCCCCTTCCAGTCATACACCCTAGTAGCCCTCCCCAACTCCTCTCCCTTCATTGCTAGGAGACTAACCTCTCGGCCATTAGTGACCAGGCCGATTCCTTTGTTCACCTGATGGCTCATCCACAGAGTACACACGCAGGGGGGAAGGGAAAGAAAAATTCCTTGCTGAAATCAGAACTATGACAAAAGCAAAGAATATGAATACTGTAGAGTGAATGATGGAAATAATAATACTTTTTCACAATTTTTCTACTGTTTTTCTGAAGACTGAAAAATGCTTAGGAGATTGAGGCTTAATATAGCCTGGGATTGTAGTTTGAGCACACTATTTTCTGGAGGAAGAAAAGTGTATGCACACTAAAAAGAGTAAAATATTTTCTCCCCATGCTTACAGGGAGCTAGTGCTGCCCGTTAAGCACAGGATTTGAATATATCACCTAAGGTTATATAGGTACTGTGTATTTCTGAATGCAGTAAAAAGCTTTGTCTCCTTAGCAGAACCCTAGGGAAATTACAGCTCTGAGAACCATTGCCAGTCTGGTCCTTATTGTGTTATGCTCTGCTGTTTTCATGTTTTCTTATCCCTTTAGCTTTGCAATTGTAATACATAGGGAATGCTGGGTATTCCATAATGCTCAAGATGAATTACTGAATTTCTGTGTGTTGTGGAAACTTTTGTTTCACTTGTTGCAAGAAGGAAGTTCATACTGATTGCCAGTTGAACTATTGGAAGCAGTTAGAATACATTTTATTGTATATTATTTTTATTTTTCTTAAGATGATAAGGAATCTAAAAATGCTTGTTTTTCAAAATATTAATATTTATTTCTACTTTTTCTAATGTTCAAGTAATTATTGTCCTGTTTAATTAAAAAAATAGAAGTGTTGAGAAAAGCTGTCTTCTGTTAGGACTGTTGTGGTTTTGCCACCAATGTAAAGCAGCAAAGAGAGGAAGCAACCAAAAATACTCAGAAGAACATTTCTGTATCACATTTGACTGGCAGTCTTGAGTTTCTGAGACCCTCGTATCTGTCAAATCTCACTATCTGAGATATATAGACAATCTATGTACACTAGGTCTGAGGGGAAGAAGAAAAGTCATAGAAGTTTGATCGGTGAGCCAAGGTATACTAGGTCAGAAGAAATACATAACTTTCATGGTCTTTGAGAGATTGATAACAGAATTTAGTTCAAAGAATAATACAGTTAGTCTAATGTTTCATAAGATGTATTTGTATCCCTGTCTATATTACTAATGTTACCTCAGCTTTTAATATTTCTGGAATATCTTTTTTCCCCACATCTTTCACTTTAGAGCTAGGCTTCTTCAAGGGAAGCAGAATATATGTTTGATTTGTGTTATTTTTACTGTGGAAATCCTAGTTCCTATTATTAGAACTCTAAGAGTATTTTCAGTCTGGTCTGAATTTCAATATAGGATAAAGCTGAATATGAGGTAAGAATCCTACTCACATATATTTAGAGAGCAACATGTTCCAGAAGTTACACAGAAAAAAGTTCAATTTGCACTTCCTTTCTTCCAAAAACACACTCATGCACATGCAAAACATGATTTAAACATGATCAATCTGATGATCTTTATCTAGAAAACAGACAATTGTGATGGAGCTTCTGAGTTATAGGAATCATGGAATGAAAAGGAGATTGTTGCAAAATTGTTCTATTTCTAAAATGGTTTTAGATGATGTCCTAAGGAAGGAATACTAATGAAAGTAAAATTCGATCTTTTGGAGGTATCATAGCAAATTATTTTCTAACTCATTAAGTGATGTTTTGTGACCCTAGTCCTGAGTCATGACATCTGGAAAGATTATATTCTTTGGTGCCTATAACAATAAACCGAGGTTCCGGATTGCCAGTCCTACCCTAGGCTGCTGCAAATTGCATCCTGGGCTTTCATAAGAAAAGGCATGGCCAGCAGGTCAGGGGAGGTGATTCTCTCCCTCTATTTCACTCTCTTGAGACCCCACCTGGAGTATTGTGTCCAGCTCTTGTGCTCCAAGCACAGTCCTGTTAAAATGGGTCCAGAGGAGGGCTAAAAAAATATTCATATGGCTGGAGCCCAATGGAAAAAGGCTGAAAGAGTTGGGGTTGCTCAGCCTGGAAAAGGGAAGGTTCCAGGGAGTCCTTATTGTCACCTTTCAGTATTTAAAAGGGTCATGTAAGAAGAATGGGGAGACGCTTTTTACCAAGGACTTTAATGACAAGAGGCACCAGTTTTAAATCAAAACTGGATAGATTTAGATTGGACATAAGGAGGAAATATTTTAAGATGATGGTGATGAGACACTGGAATAGCAAAAGCTGTGGATGCCCCATCCTCAGAGGTTTTCAAAGACAGGTTGGATGCAGCTTTTATGAACCTGTTCTACTGAAATATGTCAGTGACCATGGCAGAGGGGTTGGAACTAGGACATCTCTAAAAGTCCCTTCCAATTCAACCCATGCTAGGCTAGTCTACTTTGAGAAGTGGATTTTTTTATTGTCTGTAGTTATACACACCATGACCCTGGAGGAATGAACAATAAGCCTAAATGAAAGTTTTAAGTGAGCTAATGGGGAGATTTTCTAGCATTTAAGTGATTGCATGCTCAATTCTCTGCTAATAATTTTTCTGTAAAGTATTTGTTTCCATGTTTAAGTGTTACAGAAGTATGTGGCACTTGAAAAGCCAGTAAGTCAGCTCAGTGTTTATGTAAGATGGAAAATACATTTGAATCATAAAAAAAAGGATAGCAGGGGATCAATTACATTTCTTTTGTGATTTATATTCTTTTCTTCTCAGTGGATAATGTACTGTGCAAAGAAATGCCAAATGTCTATAAGAGATAATTTTAAAATTTAAGAATTTGACTGCTGCCAGCATTGGAATGAAATCTTTTTTACAGACTTCCTTTACATTGGACTTCTTTTCAGACTATTACTAGAGTTTTCGTCTGCCATGAAATAGTATCTCAGTTTTTAAAGCTCAGCACCGAACAAGTCTTTGGGCATGACACTCATAAAAAGAGTTTTCTTTTGTGAGGTATGACATCAGGATTTGTTGGTAATATTTGATAGTCATGACTGAATAATTAATTGCTATGTTAAATCAGGTGTTATTGCATATATCAAAAGAAAAAAGAAAAGAATATAATTCATATTTATACTAAAGCTATATAACATACTGCCTGAGTGGCCTGTAAATCATGATATCATAGTCAGATGGATCACCTGACCAATAATTTATGAGTCATCTACAGGATTTATACCAGAAAACACATGTAGAGTACCTTCACATTTTACATCTTATTTTTTAAAATAACAAATAATAAAATACACAATTGTGCTCTGCTCATGTGTGAGTACTTTCACCTGTAACTGGCTGACCTTCAAACTTATGGTGATCTGCTTTAGGCAGCTCTACTACTTCTACTCTTACTAAAACAAATACCAGAACAACCTCCAAAAGTTTCTGTACGTGTTTTGTTTTCCTTACTTAAAATAGGCAAAAAGCATATGCTTCTCTCAATAAACAGTAGTTGTAATTTTAAAAGCTAGGCTTTTTTTTTTTTTTTTTTCTTTTTTTTTCATTTACTATCCAAAGGACTGTAAGGGATACTGCACAAATTAAAGGGACAGAGAGATGCTGGTGCTCTTTCAGGATTTCCTCTCTCACCTGAGTGGTTCCTGTGTTATCATCTTATGCAGATCAGTGTGATAGGGTATTTTTTCTGAAAATAATTTTTAATACTATCTTAAAAATTCTGAGGCTGTGTTTAGTACTTTTAAATTGTACGCTATGAATACTATACTGCAACAAGTTAACCAAGAAGAATGATGCTTTTCACGTGTATTCATCTCCTCAAAAGACTGTACAAAGTTTAAGAGTTCCAGTATTTATTGTAGTCATTCCAAAACTCTCCTGTTGTAGCTATTGGGCAATGTAGTGCTGCACCTTTTCAAAAAATCTGTGAGATCATCTGACCCTCCAGAATAATCTTCTGTTCTATTTTTAATATAATTTGCTATGTGGGCTTTTATATAGTTTAATATATCAGTCCTAATATGTCCTGTACTCCTTAATAATCTTTCTAGTACTCTATTTTGTATAAAGATGTTGATACTAATGATATTATCTGTAGTAGTACTAAAAAAATAATGATAGCAGGAGTAATAATAGCATTAAAAATTAATGAATCATTACTAGATTTAGCACAAAAATTTAATGAACCACAGTTTAGGTACCATAAACCTTTTTGCATTTCTTTTCCAGCAGC